AGGGAAAAGACGGAGTTTGGAGTTCGTTCAAAGACGATACACAGCCTTAACATCTGGGGTTATGGTTTGGGGGGCGATATGTGCTGGACGGAGGTCACTCCTTACGTTCATTCCAGACACATTAACGACAACGTTCTGGAACCGGTGTTAGTGCCTTTCATGCAGACGTTGCAGGATGCCACTTTCCAACAGGATAATGCAAGACCCCATACTGCTGTGGTTACAAGAAGGTTCCTGGAGCAGGTTGGATTGCAGATTTTGCCTGCACGGTCACCAGACTTGTCGCCGATTGAACATGTCTGGGATAGGATGGCTTGGCGACTAAGACAAGTACTCAGGCCTCCTGAGAATCTGGATGAACTTCGACACCATCTAGAAGTTGCATGGAAGGAGATACCCCAGGAGGACATCGACCACTTAATAGAGACCATGGGTAGAAGAGTTAATGTATGCATAGCTGCGCGTGGGGATGCAACCCACTACTAGCTTTTTCTTGAAAAATGTTATTTTTGTGTTCTTTTTTTCAACTAAACTTAGTTTCTTTGTTGATAATAAAGCATTATTTTACCGAAGTTTCAAAATTGTGGTCTAATTCTTAATGGGTGGTGTATTTCATGTGAAAGTGAAATAATAAGGAACTCCTAAAAATTAAACTATTAAATGAAACAAACATTAACCGAAGTTTGATAATTATAGAAATGTATTTAATATCATATCTTGAACCACATTTCGCATAATTACTTAATGATGACTTGACCCAATAAAGAAACAAGTAGTACTTCACAAATTTTGACAACATTGATTACGTAATTTTTTTGATATAAGTGTTAGATATGTTGTATCTTGTATGCATATCACAATATATAACTTTCTCTTCTTCAACTCATTGATATACGTTGATGAGCAGCTGCGGGTATTATTCTGGAACCAGAGTTCGGGATTGTGAAAGAGATTCGATACCGTATGCGCACATTACCAGCTGGATATGATAGGTTGATACGATGGTGGATTTTGAACAGCGTTACTGGTATTGGAATCAACTCAAGATCTTGAGCGCGTAGCTAATCTCAGGTTCATCAGGAAGATGGTCAAAGTGATTCGACAGTTATCCAATCTATGGTTCATGGATTCCGGTACTTTAGCATCTAAAGTTGGTGGTAATCGGATTAATGTTTAAAATTATCATTTGTTCCAAATGTTCTATTGGTTGATATAAATCAATTTTAATCGAGTGGTTATAATTCTTGTGAAGAGTTTATAAAGATGACTTAGAAGGCTTATTGACCGATAATTCTCTTACCCTTCTTATGAAATAGGATCACGATGGAATTGTGCCATTTATTGAGAATCGTATTATTGAGGCGGTGGTTAAAAAATCTCTTAATTTTTCAAGTAAGCATTGGCCACCTATTTTAATAGCATCAGAAGCCATATTGTCTTCACCTGATGATTTGTTGTTTTTTGTTTTCCCCGAGGCTAGTTCTATCTCCTCTATGGTAATATCAGGCATTTCCTCTGATCCTTGGTTAACAATACCCTTTTCATATGTGAGAAAATCTAGCTCGTCATTCTTGTCAACCTCGTCCCCAATACTTAATAGACATCTTGCATAATAAATAACACGAATATTTCAATAAAAAAAGTAAATAAACAGGAATAGAATCGCACAAATCTCTTTTAAGAAGGTGTTTATGATGAGTCCCTATAGACTGCTTCTGGATGAATTTTTAGATTCATCAAAACTGTGTGCGATTCTTTGGCCACCAGTAAAGTTGGTTTAAAGTAAGTCTGTGTTCCATACATCTTCCACTGCGGAAGACACATTTTGAACATCGGAGCCGTTCGGTCCACAAAATTAATCCCAAAAGTATTTGAATCGAAACTCAATAAGAATATGAAGAACTAAACCACAATGCATACGGTATAACTATGGCCAATTTTGACACACACTGCGAAAGCTTGAGCAGACCCAGCGGAAGCCAAAAGGATGGTATGTACTAACGAACTGACGATTTTGGGAGTAATTACTGGAAACACATTATGGGATCAAAAAATAAGCAAGGCTACTCGGAAAGAATGCAAGGAGAAGGATCTGCACCGAGCACATTTTACGAATTAAAATACGAATAAGAAATAGGCTACATAATAAGCTCCAAACGGCCGCCTCACAAGAAATGCAGGCAGAATAAAATCGGTAGATCAAGTCTCTTTGGCTTTGACAGTGAAGAAGACTAAGAAATCATAATTTCACACTAGGATAAACTTTGTTAATGAAAGACCGTAGAAAACAAGAAAGTGGCACAACACGAATTCAAGTCAAGTCTTCGTATTCTAACACATTTGATAGGAATCAAGGTGACAATAAAAAAATCAGTACATCGCAAAACCTAAATAACTGAAAATAAGTAACAGTAATGAATCATCACATCCAAGGTTAAGCGTCCACAATATAAAACAGCACAATAATATGTCATAATATAACGGGTGCAATGAGATCTTGTCCGACGGATGCTCTTGAAGCCCTACTCGATCTCACACCACATCATTTATATATACAAAAGGAGGCAACTTTAAGTGCCTTATCTATAACCCGTTCGCTGATCTATACAGATGGTGACATCAACAGCCCGAAACGTCGTGGCTCTGCTTATCACTGAAAACATGCTCTTCACTCAAGCTGATGCAGGGTAACCTTAGAGGACACCTCGAAATCCTCAAGGAGCCATGTCTAAATCACTTGATTGAAATTAAAACGAACCTTATACCGACAGAATACAATTTTGACCAGCCATATAAAGTCATATTTGGACCTTTATTAAAGCAGCGATAATTGGATGAAGCATAACTAAAAAGAGGAGCCCTTGCCTGGTACACGGATGCTTCAAAGACAGTTGGATCCTGAGGCATTAGTAGGCGAAATAGCCGCATTAAATTGCTACTCAGCTCGGACATAACCATTTTTCAAGCAGAAGTTCTTGCTATAAACCTTACGCTGAAAAGAACTTCCAGGTCACAGACAAGCGAAGACTCCGTCGCAAAACAAAACCAAAGAGGTTTTATGCCTCAGCAAAAGGAATCTAAGGACGTTCTCAGGTTTGCTGACCGACCATGCGTCCATAAAATACCATCTCTTCCACATTAGACAAGCTTAGGATCAAACTTGTCGACTTTGCAACAACGAATCAGATATACTGTGTAATTGCGTACATAATTTTCGGTAAAGCTATTTTGACAGCTACGAAAGGCCTAACAAGACCTTGGAGCAATACTACGGTTCATTAAGGACCCACATTTGCCTTAAACTTTTGAAGGGCTAAAGTTACAATAGATCTTATAAGTTGCGGTGACGAAAGGATCCGCTCCTCTCAGCCCGACAGCAATAATAAATAATAACAAATAAGTGTCCACAATTCTTGCATAAACATCTGAGTATTACAACAAAGGGAGTATTCGTTTGTTCGGTGCTTTTTACGAGGCAAGTAAACTTAATAAGCATATGAAGCAATATTTCGATGAAGCGATGTGAAATTTTACGATCGGAGTCTCATTGTTAGTGATATTTCAAGTAATGTAAAATTTACAGCTGTTTTGATGATTATAATAATCCTGTTTTGGTTCAAGAGGTCTGTAGTTCCGTAGTGTTCTGAACCTTTCCCCGCATACATATTACATATTATACGTAGAATAGAACTCTTGAACCAAAACAAGCCTAATAGCTTCTAGTAATAACAATATCCTCCGAGTATGTTATGGGAAGTTCCAAATCTTCCAAGCAATATTGTTATTACGATATCTAATCACTGTAGCAAAAAGTGCTAAACTGTTTTAATCTAATATTTGGTTTTTTGAGTCTAAATAAGCTTCTTCATATTCGGAAAAAATCGTCAGTAATTTGAAATGTATGCGCATAGAGAGCGCAAGATTTTTTTGTATTGCTGATGATTTTTGTAAAGTTTGTTTCGATAACTTGTCCCAAAGATTATTCTTGGTAAAATAGCTTTTAGAGAGAGCTTTTAGTATTATGTATTTTTTAATATACCAATCCAACCCATATAACTAGTTAATTAAAAAAATCTGCGCAATAACGGTTAACACAATAATTAATTCAAGAAGACTTTTCTGATTTTCAAAAGAGCAGGAAATCTTGAAACATAAAATGATAAAGTTTATTACTTTAGGATGTAGTCTCTTAGAGTAATAAACATTTTTTTGAAACTTTTTCACGACAATGTTGGTAAAATTATACACGTTACAAGAAAATTACAGCGAAGAAACAAAGTTGTTACTGTTCTTAACAATACAAAACCGTTATTGTTTAGTTTTTAGCTATAGTTCTGCTATATTTAACGTCCTCTCTCTTTAAACCCATTGAAAACAAGTACAAGGAAATTACGATAAATAAACAAAACAAATATTTGTTTCCTTTACGTAATAACTAATTAATTCGAATTATATCCACCTCACTTATACAATGAATTTTAGAAATTTAAATCGTTAAATAAACAATTAATTGAAACGAAAATTAACCTCTAATAATTATTAATAACTCTATGTTGTTATAATATAGAAAGTCGCTCTTTAAAGAGGCTTAATTTAAAAGTCAACCCACTTGAAAAAGCGTTGCCCTACAAACTTACCCCTGTTTTTCACTCAACCAATAAAAACAACCCAACCCGAAAATAATAACGAGGGGATCTGTTCGCTTTTTTGTAACGGTCGCTTTTATAAAAGCACTCGATGCTATTCTACCTCTCTTAAAAAAAGAGCAAACAGAAAAAGATAAAGTAAACTATTTAAAAATTAATATGCGATCTAATAGAAAACTAAATTGAACAAAAAAAAACAATTTCTCATCAAACAATAAACTGTAAAGAAAGTAACACACAACATAATAAATCGAGAATTATTAAAGAAACAATCTAATTTATACATTGTTAATAATGAATTCATCGAGTTAAGTGAAAATCTATTAATTAAAAAAAAAATATAGTTATTTTTACCTTATCTTCTTTTAAAAATGCACTAATTAAATAACTTTTTTTTTTAATAAATTGTTGGTAATCCCTAAAGAAATTTAATTAAATAATGCGTATTAAATACGATTAGTTTTTTAGATCGTCTATAACCGCGTTCCGATACCACAATTTAGATAAACATAAACACTGAGCACGCGACATCGCTCACGAGAGAAGCTCAACAGCGAAAGAACTGATCCGAGCTCCGGTCGTAATAATTGACCTGACCGCCTCTGCGGTTCTCATCAAACTGAGTTAGTTAAAATTGTTTAAATCAGACGATTTAAGTCAATTAATCGGAAAAAATTCAAACAAAAAATGAAAAAGCTTAAAAAAATTAACAAAAATTTAAATCATTTGAAGTTCTTTTTAAATCTTTTTAAAATTCTTTAATTTTAAATTTAGTACGGCCATCTATTGAAAATATAAGGAAGTTTAGAAGTAGCGCCATCTATCAGCAACAATAAACACTAATTCTTAATATAATTCTGCTTTAGGGGCTAGATGAAACAAGTTTTTTATTAATACAGGTTTAACTAAAATAAATAAGCATGTTTTCCGATTTTTGTTGATGTTCTTTCACATATAAATTAAACGGCAGTTTTGTAGTCTTTATTTAGATTATTAAGGTTATTTTAATAATACGAATGTACAATCTAAACTTACCGTTTTTGAACTTCTCCATACAACTAGCAACTTGATCCCATTTTGAGCTTCTGAAAACGCTTAATATAATAAATACGTTCAATCCAGTTCGATAAAAAGATCTGTGGTGGAGAAGAAATTTGGGAAAAACTTCGGGACTTTTATAACGCAGATTTAAGTAAAAATAGTTCTGCCGCTGTAAATTGATTAAAAAAAGATTGTAGAATATTAATGGGAAACTCATCGATAGTTGATTTACCTCCGAGTATATTTGAAATTCCATTTGGGACATACTTTTCATTATATTATTACATTAATTACACTCTTAATTGTTTTAATACTTATAAAACGTATATTTAAGTTAGCAGAGGTTAGAGACGTTCGTTTTTAGACCTGTCAATTGTCAATGTCAAATTTGTAGGTTTTCTGTTGGTATCACTTTACAAAATTTATGGTGTTTTTCTTATTTCTAGTGACATTTTCAGTTGGGGTTAAATTACGATTATTGGTGTATAAATATAAAACCAACAACTATTTTCTTTCTTTTTGAATCACAAAAGTTCAAACTTTAGTGAAGTATGCATTGATTTCAAAATATGGAATAACAAAATTCACTGTTAAGTTAGCCAATTGTCACCAACATTACAACAATTTGACAGGTATTACATTTACATAAATTACATATCGGGTTGCTCGGTGAAAAGTCATTCAGATCCTTTGGGGAGATAAACTGCGACCCAAAAATCGAGAATCTGATACGATTAACAGCAGGGCAGTGGCATAAAACATGCTTAACCGCCTCCTCGTCCTCCGCATATAGTCGGCATTCAACATCATCGGCTAGACCCAACAAGTTGAGGTGTGTCTAATCGGCAGTGCCCAGTAAAGCCACCTATTAGAACTTTACTACTGCTACGAGCAAGTCCTAAAATATTCCCAGATTTGATAGTGGCGATGTTAATAAACAACTAAGCATGTCTCATACCAGGAGAATTGGTTCGCAATAGGCGAAGTCTCTCTATAGCCCACAGTACAATTCTATGTTTGGCCAACGGAAATGATACAACAACTGCTGGCTCATCTGCTGCTTCATTTCCAGCAAACCCAGACTGTAAGCCTGCTTAATCTGAGGTACTTAATATCTACCTGAACCAGAGAATTTTCGTTTTCGATCCAGGACAGCCGTTTAGACAGTACAATCTGGTATCGAGCATTAATCATTGATAGTGATCCCCCCAAATCTGACGGCATTGATAGCACAATATCAGTGCTTATGTCTTCCACAGCCTATTGGTAGAACATGTCGTAACAGTTTTGAGCATATTGCTTAAATCTGCAAATGGTAGTTCTAACCACTTTCTCTACGTGCAAATACAAAGGAGATAGGATATAAATTTACTTCTAACAACTGAAGTCTGTGGGACTTTCCTATACCAGGCTGCTACTCCCTATGTGATCATAGATGTAACCACAATCACATAGAGCCAGTACAGTCTTTCAGGGGTAAGACCCCAATCTTTCTAACAAAGACTACGATATCTAAGTCCACAAGAATAGTCTAGCTTTGTGTAAAACTGCAAATATCCATTCCATGAGAAGGTTTTGTCTACGATTACTCCTAGATATTTAACTTCCTTTCACAAAGGAATTTCTTCACCTTGGATAGTGAGGCGGATTAGTCCATCCAACTATCCAAGGTGAAGGGTACGACGATTTTAATTTTAATTAAAAGCTGAATGCGTAACAACTAAAGTCGTAACTTTTTGATTTAATGAAAATGCATCAAATTTCCGGTTTGGTTTTGTTACCGGCGTTGTAAGTAAAAAAGGAATTGTGTTTACAGTGATACAATAAAGTCTACATACACCCCAGAAAATGATATTTCAGCTCCTGAAATGTAATTCAATGAATTTTGTAAACGAAGGATATTAGAAGTCTATATTATTTTAATACAAAGTCGAAACAGTTCGACTTGTGCTACGAACTAAAGGCTACAGCAGTAGATTTAGTCGCACCTCTCTCAAGACTTTAGCACTAGAACTAACACAAGACCTAGAACTAGAGTCTTCGGATTTAGCCGTCTTGAGAGACGTGGGGCTAAATCCGAATGTTTCTAGTTCTAGGCCTTGTATTAGTTCTAGTTTTACACTAGCACTATCATTGCATAATTTAGCCGTCTTGAGAGACATGGGGCTAAATTGGAATGTTTCTAGTTTTCGGTCTAGTGTTAGTTTTAGTTTTGCACTAGAACTAACATAAGACCTAGAACTAGAATCATTCGGGTTTAGCAGTCTTGAGAGACACGCGGCAAAACCCGAATTATTCTAGTTCTAGGTCTTGTGTTAGTTCTAGTGATAGTGCTAGTGTAAAACTAGAACTAACACTAGACCTAGAACTAGAAACATTCCTCAGTCCCCAGTCCTCAGACGCACGGCTAAACCCGATACTTTCTAGTTCTAGGTCTAGTGTTAGTTCTAGTTTTAGTTCAATAAAAATATGCAACATAGTGATATCTTATGCTAACTAGCGCTACTTACCACTGTCTCTAGAACTAACATTAGACCTAGAAATAGAAACATTCGGGCTTAGCCGAACGTCTCTCAAGACTGCTAAACCCGAATGATTCTAGTTCTAGGTCTACTGTTAGATTTAGTTTTACACTAGCACTGTTATCTATGTAGAACTAACACTATACCTAGAACTAGAATCATTTGGGTTTAGCCACACGTCTGTAGAGATGGCTAAACTCGAATGATTCTAGTTCTAGATATAGTGTTAGTTCTAGTTTTACACTAGCACTTTTATCTATGTAGAACTAACACTATACCTAGAACTAGAATGATTTGGGTTTAGCCGCTCGTCTATATAAAGACGGCTAAACCCGAATGATTCTAGTTCTAGGTGTAGTGTTAGTTCTAGATTTATATTAGCACTGTTATCTATGTAAAACAAACACTAGACCANGAACTTTACTACTGCTACGAGCAAGTCCTAAAATATTCCCAGATTTGATAGTGGCGATGTTAATAAACAACTAAGCATGTCTCATACCAGGAGAATTGGTTCGCAATAGGCGAAGTCTCTCTATAGCCCACAGTACAATTCTATGTTTGGCCAACGCAAATGATACAACAACTGCTGGCTCATCTGCTGCTTCATTTCCAGCAAACCCAGACTGTAAGCTTTCTTAATCTGAGGTACTTAATATCTACCTGAACCAGAGAATTTTCGTTCTCGATCCAGGACAGCCGTTTAGACACTACAATCTGGTATCGATCATTAATCATTGATAGTGATCCCGCCAAATCTGACGGCATTGATAGCACAATATCAGTGCTTATGTCTTCCACAGACCATTGGTAGAACAGTTTTGAGCATATTGCTTAAATATGTAAATGGTAGTTCTAGCTACTTTCTCTACAGCAGTGGTTCTCAAACTATGGTACGCGTACCACTGATGGTACGCGAGAAGTTCTCAAGTGGTACGCAAAACAGTTTATATTTGCATTATCATTATTGTTTTTTTTTGTTCAGTGGTACTACCTGATTTTTAAAATAGCCTTAGTGGTACGCAAGGATATAAGTTTGAGAACCGTTGCTCTATGTATATGCAAATGCAAAGGAGATACGCCAAGCAGAACAACCATTGCTAGAGTTAGCGTTGTACTTATCGCACCAGAGATTGCCAATCCAACTCGTTGAATTCGTGAAAGTTTAAAAGACTACGATAAGTCCACAAGAATAGTCTGGCTTTATGTAAAACTCCCTACAAATATCCATTTCATGAGAAAGTTTTGTCTACGATTACTCCTAGATATTATTTGACTTTCTTTGTCAAAGGAATTTCTTCACATAAGTACGAAGGCTTTCACGGCCGGTGTGAATTAAACTAAAATTAGAACTAAAACTAGAACTAACACTAGAAACTTTCGGATTTTGCCGTGCGTCTTTTAATAAAAGGTTTGACGTTTCGGATGCCATGTTGCAACCTTCTTCAGAAACTGGTTCGAAGTGACGAGATCAAAAATCGGTTTTTTCACCGATTTTTCATGATCATTCGGGCTTAGCCGGACGTCTCTCAAGACAGCTAAACCCGAATGATTCTAGTTCCAGGTCTACTGTTAGTTCTAGTTTTACACTAGTACTGTTATCTATGTAAAACTAACACTATACCTAGAACTAGAATCATTTGGGTTTAGCCGCTCGTCTATAAAGACGGCTAAACCCGAATGATTCTAGTTCTAGGTGTAGTGTTAGTTCTAGATTTATATTAGCACTGTTATCTATGTAAAACAAACACTAGACCAAGAACTAAAATCATTTGGGTTAGTTCTACTTTTAGTTCAATAAAAATATACAACAATATAGTGCTGAATTACAATTAAAACTAGAAGTAACACTAGACCTAGAACTAGAAAGTTTCGTTTTTAGCCGTGCGTTTTCCCTTTATTCTAGTTCTAGGTCTTGTGTTAGTTCTAGTGATAGTTCTAGTTTTACACTTGTAGTTCTATGTTTTAAGAGACGCACGACTAAACGGAATGTTTTTAGTTCTAGGTCTAGTGTTAGTCTAGTTTTATTTGTTATTCGGCGCTAGACAGTTGTATATTTTTATTGAGCTATAACGGACACTACTTTTTTTTAGGACTATATGTAGACTTTTTTGAGTTAATGATATGATTATGTTTTGTGTTCCTCTTTATTAATAATAACTTATATAGTTTTTATGTAAAATATGGAAATAATATGGACGTCTTACATGTTTTGTTAAAAAAATTCATTGAATTGCATTTCGGGAGCTGAGATATTATCATTTTCCGGGATATATGTAGACTTTATTGTATCACTGTACATCATTTAAATACTCAGACTGTTAGTAATAAAGGTGATACTTTTGAGCATTCGCAAAATGCTGAATCTACATTTTACTTTAATGATTTTGTTGTCCTTATTGCAGCAAACGTCATTAAGTCGGTCTCGAAGGGTAATTTAAACACTCTCTGCTACAATTTGTTCAAAATACTGATGTCATTCTTGTTTACGGCGAGGTAGTGCGCCGATTATTCAAATTATTCAATGACACGGTATAGTTCTTTGTAATCCCTCTAACAAAACTGTTTAATGACTCCATAATAATTGGAGTCTTTCCAAATGCGTTCAAAATTTCTGCAGTTACTAATTAACTATTGGTTCCTGTCGAATTGAGCGGTTCGACCTGTGATCGCGTTTAAAAAGGGAAAGATATTTGGAATATCCTAACATTTTGAAACATGTACTATAATCTTTTTCATAAACGTTTATCTCTATTTAAAGTACTCACTCATATGATTTTAATGAAACACACCAAATAATCACGTTTACATATATTTAAAAAGTAATTTCAAGATTTTCAGGATTCTTATATGGTAAAGGTTATTACAGGTTTCTATATAGGAGGAAATAAGAATGTCAAACGTCAAATTAATGTCAAAAATTAGTTTTTAAATTTCGAATATTTCAAGTTTTTGTATATAAAAAATGGATTTAGCTAATTCTTGTTTATTAATTAAACTGTGTTTATTCGTGATTGATGTATTCATGGTAATTTTCAATACAATCACAATAAGAAATTTTCTAACAGGATCTGATGACGATTTCAACTATACAAATTGTTCAAGTAAAAAAGAAATTAAAAAGAAAAATAAATCCCTGCAAACCCATCTGCCTGGAGATTTTAAAACCGCGGAATCTTTAGATGATATAACATCCGTTTATCCAATTTACAGAAATTTTAAGAAACTTCAAAAGAAAAATAAATCGTACAAATGTACACCTGAAAGATGTGATTGTAATGTACGGAGGAACAGAAAATGTAAATTATAAGTTTTAATATTAAAAAAATTTAAATTGCCATTATTTTTTTTATTAATTTAACTTCATACAAAGAAATTAACCATAAATTTCGTCTTGAACTTTCTTCCAAGCAGCCAATGGTCCATGTTCTGGTCTGTATTGAACATTGCAGCCATCTGGAGCTAATCTACCATTATTCTTCAAATCTTCATATGTGTCTCTTTCATACTTGGTAAATCCCCATTTTTTTGAAACATAAATCTTTTGACGACCGGGGAACTTGAACTTGGCTCTCCTCAAAGCTTCAATAACTTGAGCCTTGAATCTATCACTCGATCGTACGCTCATAATTGGTTGTCCAATATGAACGCGAGCAACTGTGCCTTGTGGTTTTCCATAAGCACCTCTCATTCCAGTTTGGAGCCTAAAAATAATTTTATTAATATTTATTTTAAACAAAAAATAAGAACTTTACCTATCAGCTCCAGCACATGATAACATTTTATTGATACGAATAACATGGAAAGGATGCAACCTCATTCTGATGTGGAATTGATCTTTACCACAATTCTTAACCAAGTATTTGTTGGCACAAATACGCCCGGCTTCCAAAGCTTCAGAACTAAGCTGTTCATATTCGTCAGAAACTAAATGAACGCAAAGAGGGAAATCATCGACTGCCGCTTTCTTTTTGCCCAAGTCGAAAATGCGGATTTTCGGGTCTGGGACACCACGACAAAATCTCGATTTTGGATACGGTTTGTTTTTACAATAACGATAACTAAAATACATACAAAAGAAAGTTATCACCTTAATTTCACAATGTTATAACCTTATTACTCACCATCTTGCGGGACGTCTCCCCATCTTCGGCTAAAATACAACAATTTACTCTTTAAAACGATAAATAAGGTATTAAAAAGTAGCGATGAATTATTAGTAAGCGTTTTTGAAGGGGTAAAACCTTATTAAATTAAAGATGATTAAGATTTGAGCGAAAACTTACCTCGTGGATGTTGACACCACCACCGAAAAAGTCGTAGAGAATGCAGCGACAACGGTGATGTTGCGAATTAAAATTGTTGTTTTGCTAACTTCACTTTGATTTTTGTTTTATAACGAAAAGAAAATGTGGTTTTTTAAAAAAAATTTTATAAACATTTATGAAAACTAAATGATTATATTTAATTTTTTATTTAAATTATTCTAATAATTAATTTAAAATTTAAAAGTATGAAATTTTACTAACTTCATATCAAACTATGACACATCAATTAAAATTGACACAACACAAAAAAATTTTAGGTTAGATTTATTAATTTATAGAAATGAATAATTACGTTAAAGGTAAAAATTGCGAACAGCCGCTATTAAAAGAAAAAATACCCATTTCAAATTTACCGAGTGATTTTCTTTGGATGCAGGTAATAATGTGTTAGGATAAATAAATGATTCTTTTTTAATAATTCATTTTTTTTAGGTTAGGGGAGGAAGCAAAATAAGAAATTTGTTAACAACGGCTTTAAAAGAATTTCCAGAGAAAAAATCGGTTGTTTGGACGGGATTTGGGGCTTCTGTGGGTAAAACAATAACATGTGCCGAAATTATGAAAAGAGAATATAAACACACTTTGCATCAAATTACAAAAATAAGTTTCAAATTGTACTTTAATATTGATATGGAATCAAAATATTCAATTTCATAAAATAATTTTTATAGAATCGAAGAATATTGGGATCCTATTATTCCGGAATTAGACCAACTAGTTGTTAAACGCCAAATACCTATGATAAATATTTTATTGTCATTAGATCCTTTGGATGAAAAAGAATTAGGGTAAATTTTAATCTTAGTTAAGGCCCAGTTTTACCTAATTCTCAATAAGAACTATACAACTGGAACTAGAACATTAGATTGCAAAAACATTGAAGTTTTACTACAATTTTATATTTCTAGATATCAAAGCCCAGGAAAAACATTACAATATTTACCAGACACAAGAAAGCAGAAAAGGAATCAAAAAAATTTCAAAGGAGGCAATAAAAACAATAAATTTAAAAGTAAAGAAGAAAAAATAAATAAGAACCAAACTCAAAGGTGACATATCATATTGTGGATACGTTCTTAAAACCACTTTAATCTAAAATTTAATTATCTTATAAAATTACTAATTAAAAGTTCAGCTAGATAAAAAAAAATCTGAAACACGGTTATTTACTATTAACCTATCCCATTTATTTTTATTAAACAATAAAAAAATCCCTAAAAAATATTTGACATAAATTCTTTATGTCATCTGTCAAATTTGATCTACATTGTTGAATGTCACCTGAAGTACGGTTGGTCACTTTGGCTGTCAGTGTGGTTATCAGGTGAAAGATGCAATCGAAAATTTGGAGTTTTGTGGCTTCTTCGGTGAAGGTAAACTTTAAAAAACACATTTTAATAATTCCTTATTATATTTCAATAAATAAAAGTTATCGAAAACACTTTAAAACGTTTACGTAACGAAACCTAACCTCACATTTACAATTTTAGAATCATTGTGTAAGCGGCCGCTTGACTGGTAGCTCAGTGGTTTTTAATAATGTACAACAAAAACGGTCTTATTCCGATGCTCAAGATGCGGATATCGTTGTTATTGGATCGGGACCCGGCGGTTACGTAGCTGCTATTAAAGCTGCACAATTAGGGATGAAGGTAAAAAGAATTGTTGATAAAAATATTAATAAATTAAAATTTTGCAAAAATTCAACCGTCATCATGTGGCTTAAAAACCGACGATTTTTTTTTAATCAATGACCCAAAAAATCACGTTAAAAATTAAAAAAGTGCGGAAAAGTGTAGAAAAATCACATTAAAGTTTCGATGTGACGTCACGTTTTGTGACGCAAGGCTAAACCCGTTTCTAGTTTTAGGTCTAGTGTTAGTTCTAGTTTTGGTGCAATAAAAATATGCAATATAGTGATATATTATGCTAACTAGCGCTAAACCCGAGTGATTCTAGATCTTGTGTTAGTTCTAGTGCAAAACTAAAACTAACACCAGATCGAAAACTAGAAACATTCGGATTTAGCTCCATGTGTCTCAAGATGGCTAAATCCGAATGATTCTGGTTCTAGATCTTGTGTTAGTTCTAATGCAAAACTAACACTAGACCGAAAACTAGAAACATTCCAATTTAGCCCTATGCCTCTCAAGACGGCTAAATTATGCAATGATAGTGCTAGTGTAAAACTAGAACTAATACAAGGCCTAGAACTAGAAACATTCGGGGTTTGCCGCGTGTCTCTCAAGACTGCTAAACCCGAATGATTCTAGTTCTAGGTCTTGTATTAGTTCTAGTGTAATACTAAAACTACCTAGAATTATTCGGGTTTAGCCGTCTTGAGGGACGTGGGGTTAAATCCGAATGTTTCTAGTTTTCGGTCTAGTGTTAGATTTAGTTTTGCACTAGAACTAACACTAGACCTAGAACTAGAATCATTCGGGTTTAGCCGTCTTGTGCAAAACTAAAACTAACACTAGACTACAATAAAAATATACAACATAGTAATATCTTATGCTTACTAGCGCTACCTACCACTGTCACTAGAACTAACACTAGACCTAGAACTAGAATCATTCGGGATTAGCCGTCTTGAGAGACGTGCGGCTAAACCCAAATGATTCTACTTCTAGGTCTTGTGTTAGTTCTAGTGCTAGTGTAATACTAAAACTAACTAGAATTACCTAAAACTAGAATTATTCGGGTTTAGCCGTCTTGAGAGACGTGGGGCTAAATCCGAATGTTTCTAGTTTTCGGTCTAGTGTTAGTTTTAATTTTGCACTAGAACTAACACTAGACCTAGAACTAGAATCATTCGGGTTTAGCCGTCTTGAGAGACGTGCGGCTAAACCCGAATGATTCTATCTCTAGGTCTTGTGTTAGTTCTAGTGCTAGTGTAATACTAAAACTAACACTAGACCGAAAACTTCTAGGTCTTGTGTTAGTTCTAGTGCTGGTGTAATACTAAAACTAACACTAGACCGAAAACTAGAAACATTCGGATTTAGCCCCGCGTCCCTCAAGACGGCTAAACCCGAATGATTCTAGTTTTAGGTCTTGTGTTAGTTCTAGTGATAGTGTTAGTGTAAAACTAGTACTAACACTAGACCTAGAACTAGAAAATATTGAATCAAATATTTGTAGTTCTAGGTCTAGTGTTAGTTCTAGTTTTAGTGCAATAAAAAATGCAACATAGTGATATCTTTTGCTAACTAGCGCTACCTACCACTATCACTGGAACTAACACTAGACCTAGAACTAAAAACATTCGGGTTTAGCCGCACGTCTTTCAAGACGGCTAAACCCTAATGATTCTAGTTCTGCGTCTTGTGTTAGTTCTAGTGATAGTGTTGGTGTAAAAATAAAACTAACACTAGACCTATAACTAGAAAGTATCAGGTTTAACCCAACCACAAAAAGTGATGTCACGTCGAAACTTTAAGTTTTACACTTTTCCACATTTTTTTTTTATTAGTAATGGCTTATTTGAGTGATTTCCCGTCGATTAAAAAAAAATTGTCGATTTTTAAGTGACATGATAATCCTTGAATTATACCAAAATTTTTTGTTGTTTTAGACAGTTTGTATTGAAAAAAATGATACGTTAGGTGGTACGTGTTTAAACGTTGGTTGCATTCCTTCAAAATCTTTGTTAAATAATTCTCATTATTATCATATGGCCCATTCGGACGATTTTAAAAACCGAGGAATTTTAGTAGATAATGTTAGGGTAGATTTAGAAAAACTAATGGGGGCTAAAAGTGGGGCTGTTAAAGCGTTAACAGGAGGTATCGCTATGTTATTTAATAAGAATAAGATCAAACTGATTAAGGGCCACGGAAAAATTACCGGGGCCAATCAAGTTACTGCGTTGAAAAGTGATGGATCAAGTGAAGTCGTTAATACTAAGAACATTTTGATCGCTACTGGATCAGAAGTTACTCCATTTGCAGGATTAGAAGTGAGTTGTTATCAAAGCGAGATAAATTAAGGTTAAAAATTATCTAAGGTTAAAAAATGTTTTTTCTAAATAGGTTGATGAAGAACAAGTTGTTTCTTCAACTGGAGCGTTATCATTAAAACAAATTCCTAATAAAATGGTTGTTATCGGAGCTGGAGTAATCGGTTTAGAATTGGTACTTTGTTTATTTTTCTTGCAAATTTTTTTTATATTAATAAAAACATGATTTAGGGATCAGTTTGGTCTCGTTTAGGTGCTGAAGTAACAGCAATTGAATTTATGACTTCGATTGGTGGTGTTGGTATTGATGGCGAAGTCTCAAAAACTTTCCAAAAAATCCTTGGCAAACAAGGGTTGCAATTTAAAATGGGTACTAAAGTGACCGGAGCTACAAAATCTGGTGGAGTTATTAAAGTTTCCGTTGAAGACGTTAAAAATCCCGATAAAAAAGAAGAAGTAAAAATTTTATTTAATTCAAACGTTTCTATTTATTGATTTATGATTTAAATTTTGTTTTTTTTGTTTAGTTGGAATGCGATGTTCTTTTGGTGTGCGTTGGACGAAGACCATACACGGAAAACTTAGGTTTGGAAGAAATGGGGATAGAGAGGGATCAACGCGGAAGAATTCCAGTCAATTCAGTATTTCAAACAGTTATACCAAATATTTTCGCAATCGGTGATTGTATACATGGTCCCATGTTAGCTCATAAAGCAGAGGATGAAGGTTTATTCAAAAAAATCAACATAACTTAAATGTATTAAGTTATTTTTTTTAGGAATAATTTGTGTGGAGGGAATAAATGGCGGCCCAGTTCACATAGATTATAACTGTATCCCGTCTGTAATCTACACACATCCAGAAGTAGCATGGGTGGGTCGCTCAGAAGAAGATTTAAAAAGTGAAGGGGTAGAATATAAAATTGGTAAATTCCCATTTTTGGCAAATTCAAGAGCGAAAACTAATAACGATACAGACGGTTTCGTTAAGGTTTTATCTGATAAATCTACCGACCGTATTTTGGGAACTCATATCATTGGGCCAAGCGCTGGTGAACTTATCAATGAAGCTGTGTTGGCTCAAGAGTACGGAGCGTCTGCTGAAGATGTCGCCAGAGCTTGCCACGCTCATCCGACTTGTGCGGAAGCGCTTAGAGAAGCCAATTTGGCTGCTTATTGTGGGAAACCAATTAATTTTTAAACAAGTTTTAAGTCATTAATAAAGAGAGAAAGAGAATAAGAGAGGAATTTTCAATATTATTAATCAATATTATTTAAAATATTTACTGCCCCCCCAATACTTTTTTTTCCTTGGAAGGTTTTTTGAAAACTTTTTTTGTTGCTTTTGAAACGTGTAAATAGGTTTTATTTTTTAAAATTCGCGAATTTAATTAATTTTTAAGAAATATTAAATAAAAAGTTATTGAATTTATAAGTAGTATTTTTTATGGAAATATTGCAATATAAGTAACTCAGAATTATTGATAAATCGAAATTACCTGTTAAAATTACCAATCAACTAATTGAATTAAGTAACCGCTTGTTTATTGGATAGATTTCGACCCCCAGATTGAGATACAATACCTCCCAAACAAAAAAAAAACTCAACCTACCCAAAGTTGATTGTTGAAGTAGTACATATAAACACGATATTATGTTACTTCTAATTTAGGATATCTACAATTTTCATAACAATATTTACATGGATATTCGGGTCAAAACTATTGCGTAAGGTATATAGCCAAAAAATAGCTTCATGTACCTTGGAACAGGTTAAAAGTCAAATGCGCAGGCAGGACAAAATAAATATATTAAAGCAGGTTTGACGTGGCGAAAAATTGTCAAATTGCCAAACTGTTCCTACTGCAGTGAAAGTTCCTTAACTCGTCATTTTTTAATTGATAATAGCTTTGTTCCAACCAGCGGTTTGACGCGTCAAATGCAATCGCACAGTTGAATAATGCAATGAAATCCGCTGAAATGTGACGACATTACTTGACATGTGCGACTGCATTTGACGAGTTCGATCGCTTGTTGGAACAAAGCTAATGTTTACTCGAATATATTTCGAATTTTTCTAGTTTTCGAACTAATATTTTATGCAAAGCCAGACCTATACAGCGTGTTTCGGTGACTCGGTGAACAAATGTAACCACATGTACTGGAGTGAAAATGATGACGAATCATGTAAAAAAAATTAGTAAAAGTCCTCAATTGCAAAGATACAGGCCATAAAGTTAGGAAATTTTAACACATTTTTCTAAACATCTTAAACACTATTTATGGTAAAGCGTTGAAACTTGGTACAGTGTAAACTAATATCACGTAAAATCATTAGGCAATTTTTGAGTTGGATCGGTACGCGGGAACAATGTTATAGTTCCTAGAGTTGGTTTGCTCAGAACTTTTTTATTCTATCGCAACCCTACAGTTTCTAATAGTAAATTTAGTTTAAAAACTTTTATCACTCTTAGAGAATATTGATAAAAACCACCGTTTTCGTATTAAATGCAAAAATGTTAGGTTCCGAATTCAATAACACTAAAAAAGAAAAAATAAATAAATAATCTGAATTGGCAATGACAAGTGAAAATAGAACTGAGCTGTCATAACTATTATGTATGCAAGATGTCCAAATGTAGATTTAGCTAAATCGCATTTTTAATTTGTTTTAGTTGATTTAATAAAAGTATCCAAAAACAATAAATTAAAAATCAACAAAAAGAACGACAACACTAACAGGAATAATAAAAAAAAGTACATAAAATAACAAGACAAGTAATAAAAAATACTAAAGAAATGTTCAAAAACGTAGATTTCTTTTTTTTTTAGTGCTATTATTGAAATCGGAACCCAACATTTTTGCATTTAACACGAAAACGGTGATTTTTATCCATATTATGTAAGAGTAATAAAAGTTTCTAAACTAAATTTACTATTAGAAACTGCAAAAATAAATGTATGGTTGTGATAGAATAAAAAAGTTCTGAGCAAACAAACTTTAGGAACAGCCTGCATAGCATTATTCCCGCGGACCGATCCAACTCATAAATTGTCTAACGATTTTACATCACATTGATTTATACTGTACCAAATTTCAGCGCTTTACTGTAAATAGTGTTTAAGATATTTGGAAAAATGTATTAAAATTTCCTAACTTTGGTGGCCTGTATCTTTGAAATTTGAAGACTTTTACTAATTTTTTTTACATGAATCATCATTTCCACTCTAGTATATGTGGTTAAATTTGTTCCCCGAGTCACCGAAACACCTGTATATCAATTGCCTACTCGAATATTTGCTGCAATTTTAATACGTCTGTTCTTGTGCGTGCATTTTATTAAATATTATAATATGATGTAAATGTGAAATGTCATCTTGATACGTGCAGTGAATTAAAATGGTTTGTGACAGTTAATGATAAAAGTAAATATGTCAACACGCCGGCGTTTAGTGTTTAACACTGAATGAGACACTAACATTATTTACCAAAAGTTGGTTATCGAGGTAAAAGAAGAAAGACATAGCGAAACAATTTGGAATAACACATAGTCGGTTATTAAATGATGTTGATGCAATGATGATAACACAACTGAAACTGTTGAATTATTTCTTTACAAACACCCTCTCTTGACATAGTTAAGAATTTAGCAACTCCTAAACATGACCCTATACTCATTTGTGACTTGCTGGTTATGTCTAAATGTTAAATTGAGTCTGAATGTTGTCACCCAAGTTGAGGTTCGTGATATAATAAACTCATTAAAGAGTAACCCTGCAAGGGACTGCTTTGGATTCTCTGTCAGTTTTATAAAGAGAACTATCAAAACCTATATCTCTCTCCATTAACTAAACTTATAAATTGTTCTCTAAAGGAAGGCAAATAGTAAAGAAGATATGATATCTTATTATATTTGATATCTTAAAATTACCGTCCCATAAGCATCCTGCCAGTGTTCTCGAAAGTATATGAAAGAATTATCTATAATAGGATTACAGATTACTTGGAGGGGCAAAATATGTTATTTGGGGGCCAATTCGGATTTCGTAGAGGGTGGTGCACGGAGGATGCAGTGGTTGAGTTTGTGAACTTTTGCCATAGTGCATTTAAAGGTGGCGATTATTGTTTCGTTGTGAGGACCTGCCGCGTGCTTTCAAATGTGTCTCACACCACATACTCTTGCAGTTATTAGAATATGTATAAATGTAATATGTATTATATTACCATAAATTTGATTCAATCATTTCCGATGCGTAGAACCCAAACTGTGAATGTCATAAGAGGAGTGCAACAGAGATCGATTATCGGCCCTCTACTATTTCTTATATACACCGCTCATATACCATCATATACTTAATATGATGTAAATGACAAATTTTAATGGCAATGAACTTTTTTTTAAACATTTTCATAACAAAACAATTTCATTTAATCGAGAAAATGTTTTAAGCTAAGTTTCCACATGCACGGATTACTGGCGCCAGTTCATTTACATGTGGAAATAGCAAAAAACCACTGGCACCAATAAATTGGCGCCAGTAATCAGCGCTAATAAAGTTGACACTATGATTACTGACTGAAAACGTGTAACTATTAACGTGTTCGTCCAACTAAAATGAACAAATCCGCTAATAAACTGTCCAAAAAATGGACATCAGAACAAACAGTACTATTTCTAGAAACGTATGAACAATATCCTTGTTTGTGGAATCAGAAAAATCCACAATATAAGGACCGACTAGCATCAAGCATTTCACATATAAATTTAGAAATTGTTCTTTTTGGCAACCGATACATATATTGCAAGGATGTAAAAAAATCTCCAGAGGCCAAAAATCTTAGTTTCTTGCAGTTTTACGTGCGCTGGAATGCAATCTCTCATATGCGTATGTTGTTTTTGTATTTTAGAGGATACTTGCCTCAACAAAAACATGAAACTCTCTTCAGTCATTCTTAAATGATTTAAAAACACTTCCTGATCTTCATAGCATAATTCTCTAATTAAAGACGTACGTAGGTTATTTCTACGTGTAATCCACGATCTAACCCAGCAAATATGTTTTCGCTTTTTTTGTTTGTTAATAACGTGTGCAGTTTCAAGGAGCACATTTGGACTACTACATTAATGTCAGCGCGAAGTACATCACTTGACGCCATTTTTATTACTGTGCCAGTACACAATTACAACATTTATGTTTAAACAACTTCTAGCGCCAGCTAATTGGCGCCACTAAACTGGCTTCGTACTGGCGCCAATAATCCCTGCATCTGGAAACTTATCTTTAGCGCCAAATACAGCACAGAAAGAATGACAGCCATGGTTGCAAATGGATTTGAAAAGTTAAAGTCACTTGTCATCGGGAAATTGGAAAGTTCACGTTGCATTACAAAAAGCATTGATGACATGCAAAATTTTTACTTAACTTGACAAAATGTTTGCAACCAAAAATACTACTACAAAACTAAAAGAAAATTTTCGAATATTGTTATAGAATATTAAATAGTATTCTCCTTATTCTAACTCCACTTTTCCCATCATTGGACCAGAGCAAAATAAGAAAATCTGAAACATATTTACAGAAAACGAATTGTTATGAAATTTTTGCCTCATCTTGAAAAGCCAACTTTTACTAGCATATTATTACTAGGTGCGACAACATGTTTAAGGCCTTACGTTCACCTGGCTAGATCAAAAAACGATTTTTCGCAGTAATGACGAAAATGCAATGTCATCACACACAACAATAGGGACGTAGCATTAAGCGGAATCAAAGAAAATGACAGAAGAGTGTACTCAAAACATTAAACAAATTTTACTCCAAACAGTATTTTAAGAAGCGGTACCAGAAATATATCCGTATTTACTGGATTAGTCATGCATTATGTGAAGCAATTACGCTTCACACAATAATATAGTATTTATCGAGCCCCTTTTTTTGGATACCTGTCTCAGTTTCTTTTTCATCGTAAGTACTGAACAATCATAAGATCAAAATGCGCCTGTTTTATTTCGATGACTGCCATGACCCGGTCCAGCTCGATAAGTACTTACTAAGTTTATCGATCTACTTTAAGAAATGATTTTCTTCTACCGCAAACACTCAGCACAAACATGACCCAGGAAAGATGTAATTTCTTCTTCCCGTTGAAAATTTTTTTGCCAAATTGCTACAATATAAACAAAATGTCATTCTTCAAAATTTATTTTATGGTTGTTCATTAAAATTCAGTTTTTTACACAAAAAGTTTCTTAAAAATAACCTTATTTATAGCCGTTTCAGGCTTAACAGTATAGCAGGCTATCGACATAGATATTTTTTATTGAATTAATTATTGTTAAGCTTTTTTTCTCATTTGGAACCGGGGATAACTGGTTTGCCAAAACTTTATCTTCATTTGCGTTCCCAATTCTTTACTGTTTTGGTCTTATACATCTCCCAGTTCTTATTCAATCCTACTTTTGATATTCCCTTCGGTTTTTCTTTCCTCAGAAATCTAATCCCTTGTCAACATGAGATCGAGTTTGAAATTAGCGGCTTTTTTTAGGGGTGTTCTACTCTTTGATTGGTTCTTGCTAATTCTAGGATTTTAACCGTTTTGTTGCTAAACAGCGCCGTCGCGCTCCTGAGATTTTATGTCGAAAATACGAATATATTTCGAGCGTTATGGACAACTGACTTAAGTGCGCGCCGATAGGATCTTTTCATACTCATTTAGAGCATAATGATCTGGACTGTTACTTGGCTTAGATTTGCAATTTTGGAAATTGCTCCGTAAATTTCTTTTCAATGCTTTACAACCAGTTTTCCATTTTCAACAGAAATTTCCTTTCTCGATGACATTTTTCAACCAGTTAGTACAAACAGAAACTAAATAGAAATAAGTAGGGGAAGTCAACTAAGAAAATACAATGCCAACTATGTATCTACAATAGATGGTTATCCTAAATTGTTGGCAAAGAAGGTGAAGCAACCAAAATTTGTATCTATACTTATTGCACCAGAAACTGGCGTAATTCAACATACCTAATATCATAATAATTATTGTTGTATTACGAACAGTTAGTGAATTCAACAATGTTACACTTTATTCAAAAATTGTAATAATAAAAAAAGAAGAACTGGTCTGGGTTACATTGATAACACATTTCTAAACTATTTAATGAAAATACGCAACACACAAGAACTATGGGGTTGTGTTGGGTATCTCCCAGAAAACTGTTACTAGAAGGTAGTGAAAAAAAAACATTTTATAATCAAATTTCCTTAAATTATCCTTCACATAAGGATTATGACAGTTTATGCTATTTATTAATTCTTAAACATAATTTCTTGCAAAATTTGATTAAATTTGTTTATAAATGTTACAACATTTATTGTTTTACTAAATTTTGAGAAATAAGTATTAAATTGAACTAGTTTCTAGTACATTTTTAAATTCCATTTCAAAAATACCAAGAACATAACATTAAATAAAAGTTGTTTGCCAATCAATACAATAAATAAATTTAGGATTGGATAATTAAGGATAAGCAAGGTTATAGAGCATTATGTGATTTGTTGATGATAACCTCATCACCAACATTACTCTACTGGGTCTTAAGAATAGATTGGTTATGATTATTTTCAAAATAAATTTGATATTGCCTTAACACCTTAAGAAAAAGATCACCATAATCTAACCATCAAAACAAGTGTTTTTTCAAAAAATAATAATAACAAAAAATTACATACTAAAACTTTATTATTAATACATTTAAAAACTAAAACTTAGTACTAGAAGAATAGTCCATGTTCTCATGTATTATAGTAAAAAATATTTTACACAAGCAGTTTTTTACTTATTTTTTTTTTAACTTTTATTTAATTTTTGTTGTTGGAATCAACCGCTTTAATGTGGGTCTGCCAGGTTCACATTTGATTCTTTCGCCACAAGAATTAATTTCATTTCAGAGGGAAGGTTTTTTTTCTTGGGGTCAAATACATTAAGAAGATTTAAAGACGGTGAAAACGAGAAAGAGAGCGAGCAACCATACTAAAGCAGTTGATGTAATTCTGCGAAAAGCGACCTACGCAAGACGCAAGGTTTTATTCATTTTTTTTTTAATAATATTAATTGCACACATCTCAGGAGAATCTATTTTTGCCCAAAATAAAAAAAAATCTAACAACCAATCAATCATTAGATTTAAAGAAAAAGGTAACTTAATTTTCATCTTGTTTCTTCTTTCACTGATATGGATTTTTGGAACAACTTTTTTTTAACACTTTTATTGTCTACGATAAATTAAGGAGAAATGGGGGGAATGGCGGGGAGAGAATTACTTCTTGCGTATTTTTTTAACCCAGGAACATAACGGGATATCACACTACATATATATATCTATAAACAATTTTCTCACACGTCTTTAAATAGTACAAGAGATTTTTCCGCGCTTAATTCTTTTTGAAAATTTTATACACAACGTTATAATAACACGAAGACGTGCGAAAAATCAAATCACAAATTAAATAATGAAAAAAAAATTGAATTTACAGGAAAGTTATCAAAAAAAAAAATTGAGACACACTTTCTTTAAATGTTAAATGCAACGCAGTCTCTATGTATATAGCGCATCAATTACTATTATATTCAAAACAAAGATTATTAGGAGCTGAGAAAAACAACCATATTCTGTTCACTCAAAAAAAATTCTGTTGAGAAAAATTGTTCTTTTTTTTGGAAGGGAGGTCGCGCAGAGTATATTTAGACAAAGAATTAACCTTAAGTCTTAGTCCTACGTAAAAACATTTAACAAAGGAAATTCCTTATTACTGACGAAAACACTAACGACAGAAAAATAATTAATTAAAAAAAAAAACGAAAAAAAAAAAATGAAACGGCTCACGGATGAAATATGACGAGACGACCAACGTGCCACACCGTGGCGAAGGGAAAACCGCAGCGACGGGGGGCCACATTCCCTACGCCAAATCACGTTGCGTACCGTTTCGTCCATAATCGAGCGATACGATCGTGTTCTTCACGATTTTGCAGATACTGTGTTGCTATACTTCCAACCAAAGGATCAGCTGAAAATAAAGAAAAAAGTTAATTTAAATCGGATTTTATTACTTATAGAAAACGAAGCTAGATTTATTTATACGAATGATTTAGTGTACTTGTGTTAAATTTGAAACGACAATTGGTAAAGCACATTATGATCTTTCTACTGAGCATGGTTAATTAAAATATTTCGTATTTCTATCATGTTTCATGACTTCACTAAACTTCCAAATGGGATTTTAAATATTATTTCTAACAAATAAGTGTATCAGAAGCAGTAGAATCTAACCTCTTAATATAGAAACCTAGTGTAATAACTCAACAACTAAAGTGGAGATGGCGACAGAAAAAGTTTCGCACAGTGTGTAATTATCATTATTTATGCTAGATAAATTTTTTCTCTTTTCAAAGATTTCCAGATAAACAATGATGATTATATTTTAGTAACAAAATGTACATTGCAGAGGAAAACGTGATAGCCTACTAAAAATACCCTGCCATTAATATAAGTGCAACTTGTTTAATTAAACGTGGTCTAATGGACCCTGTACATATTTGATGAGAATCAAAACAAAAACGTCGTTTGTAAATAATCGTTGCTATTCTTATTTGCATTTACGTAATTTATTCTTAATTTGAAAATTAGTTTCTACTTTGTGATGTTGTTACGTGGAAAAAGTAAGTAGATTTTAATTTAACATTAAAATGACAGCACAAATACGTTAAAAGGGTTCTCAGAAAAGGTTTTCTTTGAGCCAACTCTACTTGATTTGACAAAATCATTGCATTTCCTAAAGACATCTTTAAGTTTTGTATTACATAACATTATGTAGCATCGATAAGATAGACGTTTTTTAAATACACACATAAACCACTTTAGCACCAGCTTTTTACCAGTTTCAAAACCGTTCAAATTACACCATGTGCTCCTAATGAAATATTTATGTACTTAGGGCGACACAATCAAAGTGTAATATACTTTGTTCAAGTACGAAACATACACAGAACTTTGAGAATGGAGAAACTCAGTTTGATACTTTAAAAGAGAAAAAAAAACCAACAAAAAGGTAACAACTCTCTGATAACGATGTATATGAGGAACCTGAAAGTTTATTGTATGATGTTGCTGATTAGTATAATTTTCCATGAGAATCAATAAAACATTATAAAATAAACTACAAAAAACTTTAAATTTACTGTTTTGTTGTATGTATTAAGATGTCAATAATAACATACAAAAACATTGGTAAGATTAGACCTTAATTTGTTGAGAAAATGATAAAACTTGAAATTTTGGGGGTCACACTGCAACCAATAATAACTCAACAAAATATCAGCAAGTGAAATGTTATGGATGTCCATTATACCAGTTATTAATAATATTAAAACGTTTTATTTTATTTTAAGTTAATTTCATAATGTTTTAATAACATTTGACATTATCTCTGATGATGGGGAGTGCCAAACTAGTTATGACAGAAAATTAATTAAAGACCAGTTTAAGTACATTCATAAGCTATATATATCAAGCACCTTGAATGCTGATCAAATCAATAATTATTTCTTAAATGTATCTGCTGACTTATCCCATCCGAATCAAACTAACATTGATCCCTTGACATTTTTGATGAATGTTCCGAACCTAGTTTCAACAAATGAGTATTTTGAGTTTGGTGTTTTTTCGGAGATGGAGGTGAGGGATGCTATTACAGGATTAAAAAATAGTAAGTCCTATGACTGCTAGGGCTTGAATGCCGCAATGGTGAAACAAGTACGCAATCTATTAATCACCCCACTGACTGCACTGTTGAATCGATGTGTACGAGAGGGAATTTTTTAAGACACGTTTAAAACGGCTTGTATCACGCCAATTTTCAAGAAGGGCGACTGTAATATTACAGGAAATTATAGGCCCATAAGTATACTACCGGTATTATCTAAAACCTTTGAGCACTTGCTCAAAAACCGATTAATAAATTATTTTGAGCTTAATGACTTATTTTCTAGACAACAGTTTGGTTTTCGACAGGGAAGATCTACAATAGATGCGGTGTTGGAATTAATGGGAGAGGTCGTCGACTGCTTTGAAAGTTCAGAGTTCTGCAGTGTTTCTTGTGTTGACTTGACGAAGGCCTTCGACTGTGTCTGCCATACGCTTCTCTTGAGAAAATTATACATGTACAATCTGTCTCCTAAAGCCTGTAAACTGATATCATCCTATTTGTCAAATAGAAAACAATATGTTAAATCTAATCAGAAATTCTCTGACCTCGGAGATATTAAGTGTGGTGTTCGACAAGGTTCCATTTTGGGTCCTGTACTTTTTCTTATATATATCAACGATTTACCGAATTCAATTGGAGGAGACAAATATGTGTTATATGCGGATGACACTACGTTTGTAAGCAGAAATTTTATTCTGAGTAATGCTGTCATGGAGCGAACCCATATGTTAGAGTTGGCTAAAGATTGGTTTTGTAGCAATAATCTCAGTTTAAATGAAAACAAAACAGTAAATCTCACCTTCACCCTACGCAAGGGAGGAGGCGATGAGCCTACAACTGATTGTAAGTTCGTTGGACTATACTTAGATCAAGGTCTTACGTGGGCTGTACACGGGGATAGACTTGCCGGTAAATTACGCTCCACTGCTTTCTTGTTGAGGCAACTATCCGTCTCTGTTTCCGCACACGCGTTACGACCCGTGTACTTCTCGTATATACAGTCGCATATCACATATGGACTGATAGCCTGGGGTCATTCGAGCATTGTTAAACGAATTTTTGGCATTCAAAGAAGGGCTATTAGAATACTTGGGGGACTAAACTACCGCGAAAATTGTAATGCTTGACACTCCCTTGTCTGTATATCTTGGAATGTTTGTGAAGTACTTTATCAACAATAAAGATGTATATGTAAAAAACAATCAAGTTCATGCTTACCAAACACGACAGTGTGGACACAGAAGAATCAAATAAGATCCGACTGGATCGATCCAAAAATGGTGTGAATTACTATTGCATTAAAATATTTAACACATTACACCAACAAGATCAACAGCTGCCCCCAAAAACTCTGTTAAAAGTTGTTAAAAATTACTTACTTAAGGAAGCGTATTATAGTAATGATGAATTTACGAAAAATCCGCCCGGGACGGTGCGGTTGACGGACTCGTCCACTTAGCTGTCTCTTTTTGTTATTTTTTTAAATCTTTTTTTCCGATTTTGTGTATTGACGCCATAATTATCATTTATTTAGTCTATGTGAATTATTTATTTATTCTATGTGTATTATTATGTGTATCATGATTATCATTGATGTTACGAACTGTATTTCTCTTTTGACGAATGTAAACCAATCGGTGACACACAATAAATATTATTATTATTATAATTTTTTTCCTAAAATATGAGCAATCTGGAAAACAAACAAAAAGAAATTGAAAAAATAAATTTTAGGAAAGCAGTGAATAGTCAAATAGATATTGATGACGTAAAGATTTTTTTAATGAGCATAATTTCAACTTTTATTGAAACAAATGCTCATTTGGAGCATATCAAAGAGTAGAAGAACAAGATGTTAGAGAAAAAATCAGATTTGATAACTAGAATTACGAAAGATATTTACTGCATTCTCAGTAAGCAACTAATAATAAGTCAACTAACTTTAATTATAAATAAATGTCTGCTACAACGAATTCTCCCAGAACAACTAAAATATAGCAAATAAATTCCCATAAAAAAACTGGAAATCAAAACGTTTGCAGCAAATTCTTGTCAGTTTCTATCTTTTCATTGTTATTATCATTTCTTTCCATCATGTACTTGTAGAATGAAACTGAATTTTTGCACTTTTCAATGGATTTTATTTTGTATTTTAGGTTCGAAATGGTCTTCTAGATAACAAAAAATGGCTCTTATTATCTTGTAGATAACAACAGCCATTGAATATTAATTTGTTAAAGTTATTTAGAGTTGTAATAACCAGAAGAACAGTTTTAGAGTTTCATATTTTAACACGATAATAAAATGAAGATAGTTGTATTGTATTCAGGGTTTGTGAATTCAAACTGACATGGTTCCTGAAGATGATTTAAATGAAATCGAAAACGGTCGAAGCTAAAATACAAAATAAAATCCATTGAAAAGTGCAAAAATTGAGTACATTCTAGTTTCTATCTTGCCAACCATTAAATTTATCGAATTAATAATAACTAAGAGAAGAAAGTGGTAAGTAGTGGTAAGTATACACATCAATATGATTGCCAACCTCAAAAATCAACAATCACTGCATTCCAGAATTGAATATTGATGGTTTTGATAAACGAAAATTTACACAAATTGCTTTGTGCGACCTGAGCAAGGCATATTTTAATAGAAAAGATTGTCACATATGGAATTGTGGGAGATACATAAAACATACTTATTCCACATCTTGGTCAGAGATACTAACAGACTTATTGGAAAGGAAAGAATTCAAAATGGTATTGTATCGAAGCTGGGATTCCACATGATTCATTACACCAGTAGAAATTGCGTTATCTTGATGTTACTTTCTTATTAGTTTCTTACACTTTGTCGTCTAACGTTATAGTTAATTTATTCTTTTTAATTCCCTACAAGATCCTTGTTCTCTTCCATCACCCATCCAAATAATTTCTTCTTATATCATTTTTTCTCATTTATATGTTAAAAGCAATATTAAGATCATCACTTAAGCTTTTCTATTCTTGCATTTTCCCTATTGTTATCTCCATATGGTTATATCTATATAGGATTAAAGTTTGCTTCTTCTCTATGTTGACCAATTTCCCTTTTCTTGTTTGCCACTTTCCTGCATCTATTTGCTGGGTATTGTTGTTCTCTTATCTCCCCTATTAGAATGTCGATGGACGTCTTATTCCTTTAAATTGCTCTTATATCAACAGCTTTAATATTATATGTTATTTCAATATCATTGAGTAAATTTATCCAAATTTATCTTTTCCAACTGTTCATAATATATCCTTTTTGTGTTGTCTAAAATTTCTCTAAAAGTGATGCACTTACATGAGAACGCGTTACATACAAATTAGCAACAATTCTTGGTCAATGTATTTGACCAAAACAACATACTCCTTCTTATCACATTTGTAGAATACTTTCATCCAATCCTACCTGGTGCAGTCAGGCCATCATAACACAACATTTAAGACATCTATTCTAGATACTACCCCAGATTGTGCACATCTAGAGGAAACTTCTTTTATCTCACCTTATGTTACATGACATATGATTTTGAATACTTTATATTTTTTATAAATTTTTTTTTATTTTGCAATAAAATGATTCAATATAATTTCTTTCTTATGGTGAGAAATTTCTAATAACAGTACAGCAATTAATTTGTTAAAATTATTTATTCCCTGTGTTATGGGAATATGTAGATCAACTGATATAATTAAAATAAACTTCAAATGTCTGATTATGTGGAACACAGTAACTATCAGTAAATATAGCAATCTTAACATAAATATACAGGTGAACTTCTAATAAAAAAACTAAATGATTTCCATGCATGTTTTGGGAACCTTCAATAAAAAGGCATAGGTATGTTTATAGTTCATATCTTCAAAACGCTGTATTATGTGAGTGCTGAAAATAAGAAATTGGGGTTTCTCAAATTAAACCAGTGGTCGACCAAGCTTCATTAAAAACCGTTTAATTGTATGTTGATTAACTTGTAACTGTAATAATCAGTTACGTATTTCAGTTAATATTTATTAATTTTGTGTTAAGATTTTAGAAATTTTATATTTACCAAGTGAATTGGCTAAATTGTATTGATAAGAAAGGAATGCACTTTGAATTTAGTTATCAAATGTTAAAAGAATATGGCGACCTTAAGCAATCATTGTCAGACTTAGTTTGGCTAGACACTCTTTAAATACTTAAAAATTTCATGACAACAATCTATGATGTGTGTAATCATACTGTAAATACTATAGGGTAAATCCAAAAGTATTTCAGATCCATCAGAATTGTAGTTCAATACTTTGAAACTTGACTTTCATTGAATAGCAAAAATTATAGCTTATTCAAAACTCTGGCACATGTAGGTTAATGCTACATATCTAAGTTGAGGCTAGAAATATTGTAGAAACATTGCTGGTAAAATGATACATAAGATATTAAGATAATGATCTTGAAATTAAAACTGTTATAGTTATTAACTAGTTGGATACCAAAGGGTATTAACTCTGGAAAAATCATAAACAACGCAACTGTGCTTTCTCTAAATGTGTACAAAATGTCCCAAACGCTGTGATAGCGCTTGCCTTAAGCTGTGCTTGAAATGTACTGTGATTATACACAAAATGTGATTGTTAACACAAAATATGAGCAGCGCGAACGCGTTACTTGGTCCTTAAACAGTTCAGCATAAACCAGTAAAGTTTTATTACTCTACATAAAATAATTAATATAAAAATAAATTCTTACCAGGATTACAATCAGTTAACAACGAACAGATCGAAAGGAGCACCTTAGAAATAGTCAAAGCAGGTGACCAATTATCCTTCAAAATATCCAAACAGATCACTCCCTGACTGTTAATGTTGCAATGATAGATGCGCGTTCTAAAAGTGACTTTTGGCGGCTTGAACGGATATTCCGGCGAAAAATGAATGTCCAAGAAAAAGACGCCGCCCTCATAAACAGATCCAGGCGGACCCAAAATAGTCGAAACCCACTCGTAAAAGTTTTCGCCCTTCGGACCTGCGCTGCAATTTGGTGGCGGATCCAAAGTTATCTCGGCCAACTCCTTCTGGATGCGTTTAGCCGAGGTACCCAAAGCTTTGGACATCTTCGGGTTTGGTTTAGTTTCTTTCGCTTCCGGTTTTTGATCACCAACAGTTGTTTGTCCACCTCTACCTCTACCTGAGCCGCTAGAACCAGCAGTAGACATGTTGTTTAAACGTTAGCTTTCAGAAAATTTGTTTCAATTTTCTATTCAATTCTGGAAGGAATAAAAAATGATTTTGAAGTATTAAAAAAGAATTGAATTAAAAAAATTATCTAAAAATAATTATATTCCATTATTCATTCCATTTTACAATGAATTACTGATATCGAAAGAATTTAAAGGATATTATAGGTAATATGAGATGTAATTTAAGAAACATAACCTAAAAAAAATTATTTTTTTTCGATTTTTTTTTTATTCTTTATGTTAATATTAATTAAATTTAGTAACCTTTATATGATCTTAAATGTATTATTAAGGACAATCAGTGATTTATTACAGAAAAAATCACCTTTTTGTATAAAATATTGAAGTAATTTCATTTTATTTAGAAAAAAAACATTCTAATTAAACACTTTAATTAATTACAAATACACAAAATTACGATGAACCCAGAATCTCTAATTAACTAGTTATTAATGAAACGTTTTAAAATCGTTCCACATCACATAAAAAAGTAAAAAAACGCGATTTATTCATTTAAAAAAAAAAACAAACCAAGTCAAAATCAAAATTGATTCCTTATAAACTGTCGGCCATTTTGTGCCTTTATATTGAATAAGGGGAACAAATAATTATTAAAATCTTATATTTCATACATTTTCGGAGAAAATCGCCGTTGGTTTTTGCTTCAAATCAATTATTTTCGCATAATAAGTGGAATTTTAAACAATGCCTCGAACGCCTACGGTCGAGCGGTTTTTTTATTGTTTTACACGAACCGTGGGGCGGATTTGGACCAAATTTTGAGTTCAAAAGATTGCTTTTCGTATTCACAACCGGATTTTAATACAAAATTTCTACTTACAGTTGGTTTTCGTTTAATTTTTGGTACAAAACAATACACACTCCCTTTTCACAACTCCAGGCTCATGGCGTACTCTAGAGACAGATGAAAGCAGGGACTTACAACACAAAAACAAAAAAAAAGTTACCAACGTTGAGTTTTATTACTAAATTACATCGAATTTAAGTATTAATTTAAAGAAATTTTTAACGGAAATTAAGTAATCATTTCAAATTGTTGATTTAACGGAAAATTTTAATTAAATATTTATTTTTAACTGATTCTTTCAACTAATTTAATGAAGGATTTTTCTTTCGTTTTAGGTTGGTATGGTAATTTCAACTTAACCTCAAATTTTGACAATTCAAAACATTCATGAAATAATCAACAAAAATTTAAGAAAAAATGGGGAAAAGGCAACACCAGAAGGATAAGCTGTAAATCAATAAATTAGTTTTAATAAAAAAAAATTAATTCCACATTTTTTGTAGTTATTTAACATATTCTGAGTGGACGACTTTATATGGTGGTAAACAATCAGGTGAACGATCCACAGAGGAAGAAAATGCTTTTAAAAGGCTCCCTTTTGATCATTGTTGCGTGTCCCTCCAACCATGGGAACACCCATATTGCGATAGGGATGGGAACATATTTGATTTACCAGCACTAATTCCGTTTTTAAAAAAATTCAAAGTTAACCCAGTAACAGGGCTACCTTTAGAAATAAAAACACTGATTAAGTTAAATTTCCATCGTAACAAAGAAGATGAGATGCATTGTCCGGTTTTATTTAAAACATTAACTAAACATTCATATGTTGGGGTTATCGCCACAACCGGAAACGTTTATAGCATGGAAGCAATCGAACAATTAAACATTAAAAATAAAAATTGGAAAGATTTAATTACTGATCTCCCTTTCGAACGTAAAGATATAATTGTTTTACAAAACCCGGCCGATTTAAGTAAATTTAATATTTCAAAGTTTCATCATGTCAAAAATAATTTAAGAGTTGAAACAGAAGAGGAATTGGCTGATAGAGGTGACCCAATGGCTAAATTAAAAAATATTAACCCAGAAACGAAATATACTCTTGAAACTTTAAATCGAGAATATAAAGCTCCTGAAATTGAAATAAATAAAAAGCAAAGTACAGAAAAAGCAGATAAATTTAATGCTGCTCATTATTCAACTGGAAAAGTTGCTGCTGGTTTTACATCAACAGTTATGCCTATGGAATTAACTCATGAAGCTGCAATTATCGAGGAAGATATTGTTAGATATGAAAGGGTTAAAAAGAAAGGTTATGTTCGATTAATTACTAATTTGGGGCCGTTAAATTTGGAGTTGTATTGTGATGTTATTCCAAAAACTTGTGAAAATTTTTTAAAACATTGCCAAAATGGTTATTATAATCAAACTAAGTTTCATAGATCAATAAGAAATTTTATGGTATTATTATTATTGTTGTTTAAAAGACATTTTTTAATGTTTTGTTTATTTAGATTCAAGGAGGTGATCCAACAAATACAGGGAAAGGTGGGGAATCAATTTGGGGTAAAAAATTTGAAGATGAATTTCGTCCAAATTTATCTCACACCGGTCGTGGAGTTTTATCAATGGCTAATTCTGGTCCAAATTCAAACGGATCACAATTGTAAGATATTTCAAAGTTAAAAAATACTCCCTCCCTCTAGGAAAATCGATTTTTTTGTCCAAAAATAATTGTCAGATTTACTTAAAAATTAATTTATTGAAACTTAACTACAAATATCGTTTCTAAGAAACTTTTGACGGTTATGTAAGTATTTAAACTGAATTGATTACATGTTGATAAAGCCCAAAATCAAAATTTATAGAAACTGGAACTACCCATTCTCTGTAAATGATCTTTATTCAGGGTCAGCTCTTGGTATTTTAGCACTCCTGTGCAAAATTGTTTCCAAATTTTTCAGTCAACTTAAAAAGAAAGATTATTAAGCTTGTGCTTATTTATTATCATAAAAATAAAATATACAGGGTGTCTCAGCGAGACCGTTCATTAGACGTTTATGGAGTTCTGGCCAAAATAAAAATTTGAAAATTTAGATTTAAATATTATCAATTGCGTTCTCTTCGACTAAAATATTTTCAGATTTCTAGCACTTCCGGTTATACCTGAAGTCGCCACCTACTTTATTTTTTTAAATGGAACACTGTATATTTTTACATATTTGGATTTGTCTGTTTTCAAGGTTTATAAATAATTTTCCTTTTTGCAATTTGATGCTGCCGTTCTCGAGTTATTCGAATTTTTCTTGAAAAATCTGCTCCAGCAGACATTTGTTCAACAAATCAGAGAACACTCGATTTTTGGGATATCAATTTAGGATTCAGAACATGCTTAAGCAACATGATGGAGTATGTTTTTTGCTAGATCGTTTGGTCACTTCACTATGGCATGTTAACTTTTCGAAATTTGGAGTTCCCTTACTTTATTTTTTTTAATTGGCCTCCCCCATATTTTATTACTTAGTCTTCTTCGGTGTCTTTTATATCCTATATGTCCTATACCTAACATTAATAGTTTGGGAGATAATTAGGGTTTCTTGAAAAATGCATACATATCATATCGATATTTAACCTAGTGTGCCATGGAAAACAAGCCTTCTCAATGAGTTCTTGTCAAAATCTCACTTGTTTACATCATTTGATGCATGTGAGCTTATAATTATGAAACAGAAAAATAAAACCGGATACAAGAGCCTAAATGAAAAACGATATGAATTTTTAAGAAATATTATAAACTTTAAAAATAAATAAAAAATAACAAAATTTGTACCACATTATATATCTTTTAAATATTTAAACAAAGGGTTATATTTGACGTCAATAATGTGTAGTCTTTCTTTCTCTTGAATTTATAAATTTCAGATTGCTCTAGTAAGTTCATTTTTGGATCTTTATTACATTGGATGATTCTAACATTATTGTAATTTATTATGTGTCCAGTGTTAATGTGATGTCTATAGACATTTGAATTATATTTATTCTTATGTTCATGTATTATGCCTAATCTTCTTCCTGTTTACCCTATGTATATTCCATTACAATTAGAACATTCTATAAAATAAACACCGCATTTGTCAAGAGTGTCTATCTTCTCCATATGACAATTTGAGAGTAATTTCAGAATAGAATTACTATTGGAAAAAGCCAATGATATATTATACTTAGAAAAAATATTTTTGGATTGTAATGTAATGTTATTGAAAGGGATAGGTTTGTAAATCTTAGATTCAGTACATTTTGAGTATAATGGATCTTTCTGAAGTTTGATTTATTGACCATGGCAACTTTATAGATATAGGTAAATTCTTTTATTCTATCTTCATCTGAAAGTGGGTAGTTGAGGGCTCTATTAAATAAAAAACGGAAGTTCGCCAATTTATGGGATAATGGACGAGACGAGTCATATGGGATTGTAGTATTAACATTAGTCGGTTTGCGAAAGATATTAAAACAGATCTTATTATTCATATTCTTAAGATGTAAGTCGAGAAAATTAAATGATTTGTTTTTTTTTATTTCCAAAGTGAAATTCAAATTAGGGTGTAGCTGATTAATGTAGTTATGGAAGAGTTCCAGTGAGAGGAGATCTCCATCCCATATACAAAAAAAATCGTCAACATACCTGACCCAAGTGGTTATGTATTGTTTAAAAGGATTACAGTCATTAATGATAAAAGCATTTTCAATGTGGTCGAGGAATATTTCAGATAAAAGCCCTGATAGTGACATACCTTCGTTAATCTTGTAATAATTATTATCAAAATGGCAGTAGTTCTGTGTAACAATGTGTCTCAAAATTGTGTTTAGGTGATCCACAATATTATTGGTGTTACTAAATTTTTCGAAAATATGAGATGTAAGTTGGAAAGTATATTCTATGGGGATATTTGAATAAAGATTTGTGACATCAAAGGAGATAAAGATTTTATTATTAAGTTCAATATTCTTGGTATTATTAATGAATTGCAGTGAATTGGAAATGGAAAAACTAGACTGGAAATCGATTAGCTTGAAAATGTTGAACATGAAATTAGCCAACTTTGAAGTAGGGGCTTTACTAAAAGAAATAATGGGTCGTATTGGCATACCCTCTTTATGAATTTTTGGTAGTGAATACAGTTTAGAGATTTCAGGTTTCATATCAAGTGTAAAGTCATTATTGAAAAAATAATTATTGGAATTGTTCAACTTGGGAGTGTAGTAGACTAGTGTTTCTTTACAGGTATTTATTATTTCTTTCGTTTTCCTATTGATGTTGTTAATTGGGTTTTTAGTCAGCTTGATGTAATTATTGTTATGTATGAAATTTACAGTTTTTTGAATGTAAGAGTCTTTATCAATAATTACTATTCAAGCTCCTTTGTCTGCCTTCACAAATATTGCGTTGTTTTCTTTAAGTTTATTCTTTATAGATTTTATGATCTTTCAGTAAAGTGTGTTCGAAGTTTTATTTTTATGTATTTTTTTACGTAGATTCGGCTGATGATGGGCTAAGCTCGGAAACGGTTCCGAATAAATTGGTATTAAGCAAGTAAGAAGTTTTTTTATATAGTTTAAATTTTTAAATTTAAAACTTGCAACATGTATTCCAAACATATTAAGATTTAAAGTTTGGTTTACTGCACTTTCAATATTGTTTTAAGATAATTGTTTTTCAGTTTTGAAAAAAACCTTTCCCCAGTAGCAGCAGCAACTGGAATAGTTAGCAAAATTCTTAATGCTACGGATAAATTTGAAAACTCGCAAGTTAAACTGTTTTTATGAATGAAGTTCAAAACTTCTATGGGTTGGGTTATTTCATGGCACAAATCTGAGGCATTAATATGTCTCTGGCATTCATTATCACTTAACTCATTAAATTTAATTTCTAAGGTTTTACAATGTTGGAAAAGCTCTTCTTCAGACATATCAGTTAAGGTGAAAACATTATGCAAGAAAAAAAATGTATCTGTATAATTCTGTAATTCTTCAAATCTTTCATGAATTGCTTGTATTGCCTTATCAAGTACAGCCAAGAAAAAAAAATTTAAAATTATGCTTCGGTGACAGCAAGGGTTTCTTCTCCGCGTTCGTAGTCAGACTGATTCCGCCTTCTCCTACGGGGTTCCGGTAGAAAATCTTGATCGAAATGATCATCGGTTCTAAAACTCTTAAAAACATTTTCCAACGATTTTAATTTTTGAATTGAATCTACCAAGTTTATTTTAGTATTTTGAAGCATTTTACTTACAATATTGACATTTGAAAAAATATTCCACGAAATTATTGCACATATTAATTTGAAACATTCCATTTTATTCTTAAGAGACATATTATGCTTCGTCTTTAAATCAAAGGACATTTCTCCATTTCCATTACTATCTACAATTTCCTGTAATCCACAAAGAATTTCTGGTAAATTAAATCGTAAGGACTTTATTGCCTCAATTCGACTTCCCTAGCATGTATCTGATAATGCTTAACACTTAACTCACTGATTTTATTTTTCATGACTTTCCATCGTTTCGTACTGGAGGAAAAAGGTTGTACACCTCTTGTACAATTCCGAAGAAACTACCAAATTTAAAGTATGCGCGGTACAGGGTACATAAAGTGCTCTTTGATTTAATCCAATATTTTTTTCCGAAGTCCGTTGTGCCTGCCCTTCATATTCGCACCATTATCATACCCCTGACCACGCATATGTTTATAATTTATGTTATTTTCCTTTAAAAAGTTTAAAATGCACGAAGACAATCCAATTCCGGTGGTGTCTGTCGTAATACAAAACCTAAGAAATGTTCTTGAATATCTTAACCCGGAATGTGTTTTAAGAAACAAGGAATCTTATTACAGTTGACATTTGTTCTTGGTGGCTAGAATCAGGTCTAGTATCAAGAATGATAGAAAAGTAACGTACTTCTTTTAACATTAATAAACTTTTCTTCTTTATATTGTTCCCCAGTAAGTTCAAAATTTCATTTTGTATAATTTTTCCGAGATAGTGTGGCATTATTTTGTCATTAGTTTGAAGGCGTTGTACGTGATCTGACAATAAAAGGTCAAATTGCGAAATCATTTCTATAAGTTTTAAAAAATTACCATTATTTTAGTCAAAAAGTTTTGAGTTTGTAGCCCATACATAAAATAATTCTTTTAAGAATTCCTTCCCATCTTTGTTTTTCTATATTATCGATTAATGACCTGCATCCACACAAATTTTCAATTTCAAAGTATTCTTTAACAATTAATATCATTTGTTTAGAAATCTCAGAGCTTTTGACAACTGACGCTAATCATCATAACCGCCATTGACTAATGCACTGTCCTGTCATGGGAATAAAAATAACTTACAATTATAATAAAACACTGCATCTTTTGAGTAGAACAACCAACTTCTAGACACCAACTCATTATTTTGAAGGATTTTATTGTAGTATTTTTCAGAAAAGCTTCTCTTAGTATTGTTCTTAGGAAATGCTATACCTCTTACTTGTTCGGGTTTGTTTTCGACGAAGAAAACTATCTTTATGCGAGGTCTTGAAAATCGCGTTTTTTTGGATTAAAAACTTATACTGTAGCAAGGCCGCCATTTCTTAATGTTTGAAAAAGAATCGATATCGGACACTTATTTCTGGATGAAGGAAGTAATAATTAATATTTTTGTTATTAGTTTTATTACATATCGTTCGTGTAAACATTTGGATAACAAACATACAATTTTTGGCAAAGTTGTTGGTGGAATGGAAACTTTATCTGAAATGGAACGGATTGAAGTTGATAACAAAGATCGTCCAATTGAGGATATAGTGTTGCTACAAGCCCAAGTGTTTGTTAATCCATATGATGAAGCTGATGAAATGGTGATTATTTTCTAAATTTATTTTGATTAAAAAAATGTTTTTTGATTCATTTTTAGTTGGCTAAAGAAAGGCAAGAAGAAGCTGAAAAGAAACGAATTGAAGAAAACGAAAGGAGACAGAAATTGCTTGCAAAAAAACCTTTAACTGTTTATAAAAGCGGAGTGGGGAAATATATAAATCCAAGTTCAGGGAAAAGGTTTAAAATTATTATTAATAATAAAAATTATTTAAAGATGAATCTTTTTTTTAATTTTTAGGGATCAAGCTGCTTTGGATTTAGAAAAAGACGAAAAGGTTGTTAAAAAGAAAAAATCGAGTACATACAACTTTAATTTTAGTAATTGGTGAAAATAATTTAATTCATAAATAAATATTATACTTTTAATCGTTAAATAATACAAAAATAAATCTATTTCGATATCTTTTTATTTAAATATCAATAAACATGTTTAACATTTACAGTATGTGTTTATTTCATAAATGTTTCAGACTTAGGTGTATATTATTCGGGATAGAACACATATAATAACACTTAATACTTCTTATTTCTTTTTTTTTTCTTTTTTTTTCAGATATAATCGTATAAAATATTATGCGCTTATTCGATTTCTTTTTGTTCGTTAAAAAAAAATCATCCAAAATCCTTAAGAAAAATTTAATTATCCAACCATTTTGTAAAATCGATAAATTAAATGAAGTATTTCGTTTTTCATTTAATCCAATATTTATAATAACAAAATAAAGTTAAACAATACAAAATACAAAACGTGAGAAAATGAAAAAATATAATAAGAATTAAAAACAATAATAATAAGGAGAAATGAACATCAGTCTGATTTCGTGCTAAAAGTGCACTGACAATAAAAAAATAATATTAATAACGTGTTAATTAATAACAAAAACGAAGATAGCTACTCTCTATTTTTTCTTTAAATATTATAAACTCTGTATATTTGTTATATAAAAAATACTAGCAATTTCTAAAGATCTTTTTGTTCTAATGTTAATGGTGTGGTTAATTAATAGTGAAAATATTTATCATAAGTGATAATCATAACAGATAGAAACAAAAATGAAATTAATTTCGATTCATGATGTTATTTTTAAACCGTTTCGTATTCTTTTCGAATTGACCTGGCGAGGCAACATGCGAAAATAACACCAATAATCTGAAAATAAATGTTATTAATAAATGAGAAAAGTTTAAGTAAAGAAAATTTACCTGTACTAGAGCAACTCCTATTCCAACACCTCCAATAAGCGCCCCATAAGTTACAATTGTATCTTTCAACTCTTCCAAACAAGAAGCTTTATAAACGTTTAAACTATTTATGGTGCATGTTCCATCATTAACTGTATCCGGGCAACAAGTATGTGGTAAAGTATTATTTTGAGTGATTTGTCGCCAATCTGATGGACCATTCATACCGCAACATTTCATCTATTTAATTAAGAAAGAAATTAGTAAAAATTTTAAATACATTTTATATAAAAAGTTCATTAAAAAAATGTACCCTTGTGAATATGAAATTTTTAACGGTTGATTGAATTACGTGTAGTTGGTGTTAGATAGGATTTAATGACTTTGTCCTTCAATGTTTTAAAAAATATTGATTGTGAGTTAGTATGCATAATAGAGGAGATATATATGTGGTATGTAAGTACATATACCGTAAATACATAAGTAACCATTGTATATGTAACCATGTAAAAAGAAAAACTTTCGTAACCCTCGTTTTACTTCATAATGTGACTTAACAAATAGTTAGGTTGTAGATTTGTACTTATTTATGTTTGTAAATTCCCTCCAATTTATCGTATCTTCGTGAATCGATATTTTATATATGAACTTGTAATTTTATTACTTCGCTGCAAACAGAAGCGAATATATAAGTATTAAGAGATGTATATTAATGTAGAAAGTGCTAAGATGACAATAAAAATTGTATAAAGATGCCTGATTTTATGTAGATGTAGTTGCTGTTACCTCCAGTTAATTTGTGTCTATAGTAATCTTTCTGGAATAAATCGAAGACTAAAGAAAGATATTAGTCCATCATATCTTAACTCTAACAATGGAAACTATTGACCCAATTCTTTTATTGACTGTGTAAATGCACAGTTCGAGTAAGCCATCAATGTCAACTTCGAGATTTACTTCAATAACGCAGCTTTTCCTATCTTTTTCATTTACGTTGGGTAACTTAAATTCAATGTTATTACGACACGGAAAAAAAGTTTATGGTGTTAGCTCGAAAATTGTGATTGTTGAATGGAAATCTTAACCCAGTAGTTCTCCAGCAGCAACAACTACAACAAATTCTTTAGGTAAAGCACCAGAACGTTCCTCTGCAATAAGCAATTAGGTCCATATACATTAATAAATAATAGTAGTAAAAAGGTGACAAATAAAGATAAAATCAATCCCAACAATATCTGATGTAGCTGATTTTACTAAATTAATTGAAAATCTAATTTTAAGTTTTGGATGAAGCTCCAAGAATAGCATAAGAAGGAAACTTTAGAACGAAAACAGAAGTATTTTTAACAAAACCTTTGGCAGAATAACATCAACAAACGTTAACTAACGTTGTTGTGAGTAATAAGAGAACGTCCCACTTCAACATCAAAACGCGGCAACTCGTCAAGAATAATTACAACGTAATTAGAAACTATTACAACCTACTCTGAAAATATTGCGATAAAGCCGCAAGAAGTTATCCCGTTAATGTCGTCGGTTATCTACAATCATAACAAGAAACGGAGCAGAAATGGATCAAGCGAAGAAGGAGGCAAGAAGGTACATAGCGTGGTAATGAGAAGGAAAAGCGTCAAAATTCCAAAACAAGGATGTCATGAAGAGATAATACGTAGAGCAAAGAAAAGGGGAAGAAAGACAATAGAGAAGGCGATAAACAATGAAGTATGGCATAGAACAAAAACGGAAAGAAGTGGGAGTTATAACATCCATTAACAACACAGGATGTGGGGAGAAGGGTTAGGAAAAAGTATTCACTTTGTAGTAGGAGGTCCTACTTGTAATATCTCATTTACAAAAAAAGGAAGAAAGATTTTATGCAAAGTTTTAGAGGAATAATCTGGGGTAAGCTTCTTTGGTACAGATGATATTTAATGCGAATAAAATAATTATTTTATTCATTATTTTCAGAACAAAGCTTTTACAAACAGATTTAAAAGAGAAAGATGATTACTCCATCTCTCAATCATACTGATAAAGAGTTTAAATTTTATGTAAGAGATGGGTTGACAGATTTACAAAAAATAAATGCATCTACATGAAATAATGACTAGAGTATTCCACCATAAATTTGCTAAATCTATCGTCTTACTGTTAGATACTATCTATGTTATCTGTTAAATAAAGTTTTTATTCTTTGATATACGCTTCGCTTTATATCTAGATAGCGTGCTGTATATTCAAATAAAGATTACATCCATATTAATGTTCCCATTAACATCGCAAGTATACTCCTGGTTATCAAGTTAACTTGTAGAGATAAAAACAACACGAAGATGAATTATCGAGAGATTGTTAAGTATCGCTTTGTTCATCAAGATATCGCTTCTACAAAAAGATGGACAACAAAACAGTCTGCACATATGTAATTGAGTTAAGAAAACAGAAATGGAATCGGTTATGTATTTTTGGTTTCTCAGTAGGAAATCTGGAGCGTAAAAGGAGGAGGGAGGAGACTTCAAGAGGATCCTTTAGTTTCATTAGATCGTGGACTTGCGAGTCTATCTACATTATTGGAAGCATGAATAACACTTTTTGCCGTTGATTCAGATAGACCATGTATACTCAAACATAAAAAAAAATAATAAATTCGGGTTAGATTTAAAAATTAATATCTTAAAAACGAATAGAAATTCTTAAGTACGGTTTTGTTCATGAAAAAGTAGATACCTTTCTCTGTAAATTACCAATGTTTTATCAAGGTATCTTAAGAATTGGATTTTTTACGATTTATTAAATATGATTGTAAAAATTTGTCAATTTTAAAAAACGACTAAAATTCAGGTTGAATTTAAACATTATTATCTCAAAAACAAATAACGGTTATCAAGTACGAAATTGTTCACGAAAAAATAGGCACCTCTCGCCGTAAATCGCCAACGTTTCATCAGGATATCTTAAGAATTCGATTTTTTAGAATTTTTTTAACCCTTTATGTTCCAAGAAGTCAAAAATGTTGAAATTTTGTGACAGAATTAAAACGCTATCAAAACACACTCAGTAAAGACCTTTGGCATCAAGTTTAGCAAAATATGCGATCCCCCCATTCCAGGGGGATAATGGTACTTGAGAGTACCATCAGGCATTAAAATATATTTTAGTGATGTTGCAGTAAACAAAAACTTTTGTTGCCAATTTAAAAATAAACCATTTTTAATTACGTTAGAACATAAGTAACACTTGCTTTAACTAAATCACATTATGTTATTCAAAAAAGCAGATCTTTCTTTCATTACAACATAAATAAACATTGCACGCAGTACATTTTGAGTGGGGTCTAGCTTTGGCATAACAATTTCCACAACTTCCTCTTTCTTTACGACATTTTCGTGGACGCAGTAAATTTGAATATTTATTTATAGGATTTGTAGCTATAAAACGACAAAAATCTGATAGAATATTGAGAAAAGACATATTGACCAAAAACTAACATTTTCGTAAAACCTAAAAATGTCAAAAAAGATGCTAATTTAAATATTCCTGGAAGCCGTATTTATTGAAATTAAGGAATGAGACTTTTTCTAAATTAAAGCTCAATGCTTTCTCTTTAAAATGATGTATAAAAACGGTTGTGTTGGATCACAAAAATGTGAAGAAAAAAAATGTTGAAATTAAACTTACATTTTCGTATAACCTAAAAGTGTCAAAAAAGATGCTAATTTAAAAATTCCTGGAAGCTGTGTTTATTGAAATTAAGGAATGAAACTTATTTTAAATTAAAGCTCAAAGCTTTCTCTTTAAAATGATGTATAATAATTGTTGGGTTGGATTGGAAAAATATTGAGAAAGAATATGTTGAAATAAAACTTATATTTTCGTATAACCTAAAAGTATCAAAAAAGATGCTAATTTAAAAATTCCTGGAAGCCGTGTTTATTGAAATTAACGAATAAGACTTATTTTAAATTAAAGCTCAACGCTTTCTTTTTAAAAAGATGTATAATGACTGATGGGTTGGATTGGAAAAATGTTAAGAAAAAAAATGTTGAAACAAAACTTACATTTTCGTATAACCTAAAAGGGTCAAAAAAGATGCTAATTTAAAAATTCCTGGAAGCCGTGTTTTTTGAAATTAAGGAATAAGACTTATTTTAAATTAAAGCTCAACGCTTTCTCTTTGAAATGATATATAATAATTGTTGGGTTGGATTGGAAAAATATTGAGAAAAAAAATATTAGAACAAAACTTACATTTTCGTATAACCTAAAAGTGTCAAAAAAGATGCTAATTTAAAAATTCCTGCAAGCCGTGTTTATTGAAATCAAGGATTCGGACTTATTTTAAATTAAAGCTCAAAGCTTTCTCTTTAAAATGATGTATAAGAATTGTTGGGTTGAATTAGAAAAATATTGAGAAAAAAAATATTAAAACAAAACTTACATTTTCGTATAACCTAAACGTGTCAAAAAGATGCTAATTTAAAAATTCCTGTAAGCCGTGTATATTGAAATTAAGGAATGGGATTTATTTTAAATTAAAGCTCAAAGCTTTCTCTTTAAAATGATGTATAATAATGGTTGTGTTGGATCACAAAAATGTGAAAAAAAAAAATGTTGAAATTAAACTTACTTTTTCGTATAACCTAAAAGTGTCAAAAAAGATGCTAATTTAAAAATTCCTGGAAGCCGTGTTTATTGAAATTAAGGAATGAGACTTATTTTAAATTAAAGCTCAAAGCTTTCTCTTTAAAATGATGTATAATAATGGTTGTGTTGGATCACAAAAATGTGAAAAAAAGAAATGTTGAAATTAAACTTACATTTTCGTATAACCTAAAAGTGTCAAAAAAGATGCTAATTTAAAAATTCCTGCAAGCCGTGTTTATTGAAATCAAGGAATGGGACTTATTTTAAATTAAAGCTCAAAGCTTTCTCTTTAAAATGATGTATAATAATGGTTGTGTTGGATCACAAAAATGTGAAGAAAAAAAAGATGGAAGCCGTGTTTATTGAAATTAAGGAATGAGACTTATTTTAAATTAAAGCTTATTGCTTTCTTTTTAAAATGAGTGTTTAAAACTACCGGTACTTTAAAGTATCGTCGGGATACAAGGGTTAAAAATGATTTGAAAAAATCTCATTAACTCGAGAGTGGGTTTGGTTGGGTTCATTGGTCAAAGTAGCATTTTTACTTTTTCACTTTAACTTTTATAAACGTGATATATTCTCTTTTCCAGCATCTATTTATTCCTTTCTATTTGTTACTTATTCAGATACGAAAAAGAAGTTGAAAGGAACTCTAGCGATGTAGAAGATTTAGAGGTTTACCTCCTTCACAAATCTTCTACAAAAAAGTCCGACTAACAAGGGAAGTGTCACAACTGTGTCTCACCGATTTCGATGCAATTTGGTACAGTCATAGAATGGGCCAAAATAAGGTTCGCACATTTTTTTATACGTGCGGTAAAAGCCCCTGGGGCGAGTTATAGGGGTTGAAAGTTTGGNGAAATTAAGGAATGAGACTTATTTTAAATTAAAGCTCAAAGCTTTCTCTTTAAAATGATGTATAATAATTGTTGGGTTGGATTGGAAAAATATTGAGAAAAAAAATATGGAAGTCGTGTATATTAAAATTAAGGAAGAGAGAGTTATTTTAAATTAAAGCTTATTGCTTTCTTTTTAAAATGATTTAAAATGAAGATTTAGAGGTTTACCTCCTTCACAAATCTTCTACAAAAAAGTCCGACTAAGATAAAAACTTCTGATGAATATATTGTCTCAATTTCGTGATGGTTAAGAGATCTAATTATAGCTTTATAAGCGTATATGTGAATCTTAGAATCTCAATTGAAGCGTTCCAGATTTTTTCTTGTGGTAGTTGTTATTGGTATTGAATTACACAAGTCTTAGAGGAGTAAGTATATAGAGTAACAATTAAATAGAGGTTGAGTAAAGATTTCAATTTTCATTGAAACTTCGGTTACCGGATAACGGATATAGACAAATCTCATTTTTTTGGTTCAAATGATGCTGTAATTCTTACTTACTAAATTGAAGACCTTGGTAGCCAAAAAAAAAACTAAATTAACACCAATACTAAATTGATTTATAATACAGCATACCAATGTAATCTAGTAATTTAATATTATTTTAAGGAATTAATATAAGAAGACGAGAAAAAAATGTGTATGTTTATGTTTATGATGGGAATGAAAAATAAAAACACTAAAATCAAAGCCAATGACATGCGATAACTAAACCATAAAGGTCTAGCAACAAATTCATGTTTATTATCAGCCTTTATTGTAACACTTATTAAAAATTCTTATTGAATTTTAAATTAAATTACATAAATGTATCTTTAAACTAAAATTCAACAACTAAACTATGCGTTTTATTGATTTTATGACAACTCGAATCAATTATTAACGTTGATCAAATTGCAAAACTAGAACATGGATGCACGAACAGATGTAGATTATTACATTATTCACGTGGGTGTTTGTCCACCTTTTGTGCTCAATCGACTTTTTTATTATCAATTCTTTCGTAACTACCGCGCAATAACTGTATTATTACATTTGATTCACAAAAAAATAACTCACCTCATGTTGTAAAATGTTCCATGATTTCTCCACGCCGCTCTGATTGAAATAATTATACATCGATTCATTTAATCGGTTCTCCAACATCGATTCAACATCATTCCTTCTTATGTAACCAGCAATTCCAACAATCGCTTCCAAACCAAATATTAGTAATATTAAAACTGAAAACTTTATAACAAAAAATCTTATTACTACTTCGATATTTGTGTTATGAATAAGATTATTTCTTATTGAAGAGAATGATTTCATTTCATGATGAATAATTTGATTGTTGATAAAATGAGTAATTAATAACTTACGGTGATAACCATGCAGTGGTTTTCACGAACGGCTCCGCAACAGCCAAAGAATGCAACAACAAAGACGATAACGCCAACAATAATGAAGAAAATCGGTGCTGATTCAAATGTTGGATCGACAAAACGCGAATAATGATGATAAACGGTGTGGATTATCGCTCCAACTGTTAAAATAGCGATCCCCGATACCTGGAAATAAACCGTGCGACTGTTTTAAATATATCCGGAAGTGAAACACAACGCACACCATTTATATACAAAAAAAAATACACGTGGTTTTCTTAAATGTTATATTTAAAATTTCTTAAACAACATCACAAAGAGATATTTTCTATTCTTACCGCAAAGAGTAGATTGAAGCAAAACAATAAGTATTTAACACAGTTCATTCCACCTGAACCCATTTTTTCTCCTCGTGTTTGCTTTCCTTTTAAATTTTAGGCGTTTTCTCTGAAGAAATTAACCCGAATGATGAGTAATATTGTACACAAGAACGCGATGAATGGGTCGAGTATTTATTTGATTACGTGCTCGAAATCGAAATGCGACACTAATTCGAGGATTCCGACGTGAATGACGTGAGTTCCGTACGGTTTCCGTTCTTGTACTGAGTGAGTGAAGAGACGAATAGGCGCTCGGTTTAAAATCCAACACAATAACACACCGTCTGGAACTTTGCCTTTGTAGCATAACATACAAATTGGAAATTGGAAGGAGAAATGTGACGCTTTCTGGTGGCGTCGCAACAAACTACGTGAATTTAACTTCTTCGGGATATAAATCAATAATCCGTCTGGAAAGTAGGAGGAAAAGTAAATAATAAATGTTTTTCTTTAAAATAAATTTTTTATATTATTCTAAAAAGTGTTTTATAAAATAACACAGTTTTTTTTTTCAATATTATTAGTGAAATTATAAAAAATGCCATGAAACCTTGTTACTAATTGTTAGAAATGTTTGTAAAAATGTTTTCTATGTTCGTAATCGTTCGTTTATTCCATAAATAACACATCCGGCATTTAATATAATTACATAAATGAATAAAAACGTTTATTAAAGAACTTGGTATTTTAATTTCACATCAAGGTTCTTTTTATTTTGCTTTACTCAAATTTTAAAAAAACGTATACGGTTTATTTATGAAAATTAAAAAACAATTTTTATTATGAATAAAAATTTAATAAATCTCCTTAACCCATTTAGTCCCACGCTGCTTTATATTAAAACAATAGTTTTTAAGAAAAACACGTTTGTAGAAAATTTGTTAATTCAATCAAAAACTGTTGCTTTAATCAAAGTTTTGTAAGAGACCAATTGATAGATAATTGATCACTTTACACGAAAATACTGCCCGTTTCACAAAATTAGCAGTGGCGTTGAAAATATTGTTAAAAAAGGGCTTTTTATTGCAGATAATGTTTAATTTTAAANCAACAATAAGGATATAACCTCAAAAATATTAATTTTTGTACCATACTGTTCAGTGGGAAATTAAAATTTCAAGTTAGCAAAAAATTTTATTAACAAACACTGTTCCTGAAGTAATTCTAAACAAATGTTGTTAATAAAAATTTTTGATTTGATCAATAATTAAGAACATAGCCTCAAAAAAATTTTTATATATTTTGTATTGAGAAAATTGTTTTAGAATTTAATTTAGAACAACTTTTGTATGAAATTTTCTGCTGAGAACGAGTGGAGGGGGGAAATCGTGTCGTTTCGTTACAAAAGTTCCGTGCCCTAATAATCATTTATCGTGATACTTCGCAAAGCACTCTTCATGTAAATGAACGCTAAACTTACTACACATATATTGACACACTATGTCCATAAACGTCTATTTCTAGGGAATTCACCGAATAAATGCGTCTAAACTGGTTTCTAATAATACGAAAGATGATGTAATCCTTATATCTCATCATACATCCCAATGGTGTGTTTTTGCACCATGAATGTTTCAAGACGTATTTTCAAAATTCATATTTTTATTTCACGTTTCAAGATATACAGGATGTTTCATAATATATGCGCAGGACTTCAGGATGTGATAGCTTGTCCAAAAATTTGAAAAAAGGTTTCTATCGACTTACCCTCTAAAATGCACCATTTTCGAGATCGTTTTTTGCGAACATCTTCGAAACCGCTTATCGTACAGAAAACAGCGTTTGTAAGCATTTCTAATTTAATTTCGCAATCCTTGCTCAGTAAACCCAAAGTGAATCCAAAAATAAAAATCAAGAGGATTGAGGTCGGACGATTATGGCCAGGCATCTAGACACCTTACCTATATGTCGCCGCATATATCGGATATTTAGGAAACCAAAAATCTTTTATTACAATCTTTTTCATCTATTAGCCATTATTTGTCATGAGGAATAAATCCCTAAGTTTATACGTATAGGTTGAGAATCACCCTCGATATTGTGTATTTTTTTGTGTACGCCAAAGAAATTTGATTTTAATGTTGTTAAATTATCAAGAAGAAGAGGAAAATTTACATGTTTCAGCGGAGAAAAAAGAAGGATTCAATCAATATTAGTAAACCAGTATTTAAAAGACAATGAAACAAGATTTAAAGAGTTTTTTCGAATCCCACGCCATCAATTTCATTATACAGGGGGTGATTTAGAAAACCCCTGAGAGACCAATTGATAGATAATTGATCACTTTACACGAAAATACTGCCCGTTTCACAAAATTAGCAGTGGCGTTGAAAATATTGTTAAAAAAGGGCTTTTTATTGCAGATAATGTTTAATTTTAAAGAAACTTTGACCCGCTATATCTCGTTAAGGAGGCATTTCCGACGACATGTATATTAAGTCTTTTCATCTCAATTTTTGATGTATTACCTGCCCTAGAAGTCTGTCAGCGGTTTTTAGAATCACCCTGTATATTGGAACTCATCCAAGATGATCTTGTAACAAAACCGTACAACCGTGTGAAGAATCCAATTGACAAATATGTCATGACAAAAAAAAGAAAACCCAAAAAAGCAAGTTTTAGAGGACAAAAAGAAAGCAGTTTTTAATTACAGATTGTCTCGGGCTAGAAGAGTAACAGAAAACGCTTTTGGTATACTTTGCCATGTATTTCGAATTTTTTTTCTCCTATTGAAGTAAAATCTAGCACTGTTGACCTAATTATTCTTGATTGCTGTTGTATACATAATATGTTGCGTAACGAATGTACACTTAACAATCCGAGACAAACGAATTTAGAGGAAATATTCCTACTGAAAATATGATTCCTCTCAAAGGAACAGGAGGATTTGCTTGCGCCGAAGGTTTTCAAGTACGTAGCAGGTTTGCAGATTATTTTGCAAACGAAGGTGCCGTAATCTGGCAAGAAAGCAAAGTTTAACAATAGCCTATTATGTTGTACTATTCGTTAATTTACTAACAAAAAATAAATTAAAGTTCTTAAAAACATACCACTTTTATTTAAATCTTCCGCAATTCTTTTCCAAACAGATTCTTTTTCCATCTGAAATTTATATTATTCGTTTTTCGGATCATAAATCTCCGGATAATTCGAAATTAAAACAACAAGTTGTTCATCATCGGTACTAGAAAAATCTACGATAAACGGTTTCGGAGATATTCGCAAAAAACAATTTTTTTATTAAATTTCAACACCCTGTATCTCGAAAATAGTGCATTTTAGAGGGTAAGTTGATAGAAACTTTTTTCAAATTTTTGGTATCACATCCTGAAGTCCTGCGCATATATTATGAAACACCCTGTATATGAGGAAAATATGCACTAAAAACTTGCAAATGTCAAAATTTTAAAGAATTTGTTGCAAAAATAGTTTTATTTCTATTGTATATTTTGAACAGAAATTTTCAATAGAAAAGAATTGATGTAAATATGGCTTAAATAGAAAGAATTATGAATTATTTTGATATGTATAGCCTAACAACTTTATACCTACTGGTATCGTACAAACAGCTAGCACCTTCAAATCTGGAAGTATATGGCTGTAAAATAATTTTAAAAACGCTGGTGCGTATTCACAACAGTGGGACTAAAAGGGTTAAAATGTTTTTATGTCAGAAAATGCAGACACTCATAAACAAGTTCTTCCAAACAATACGTTGAACCTAGCCATTACATTTACATACATTACATCGGGTAGGCGAACCAACCAACCTTGCACAGCAACCCTAAGGATCTATTGTACCCCGATAGATAACATTATCAAATTTCACAGTGCAGTCTAATGCTCTTAACGAACCTTAATGACTTACTCGGTGAAAAGTGATTCAGATCCTTTGGGAATGCAAAGCAGATAGGCTGAGCAGAACATCTATTGCTAGAGTTGACATTGTGCTTATCGCACCAGAGATTACCAATCGAGCTACTAGTTGAATTCGTGAAAGTTTACTGATAATTGAAGTCTGTCGGGCTTTACCGGGTTGCTGCTGCGTATGTGATAGATCTAACCACAGTCGTATAGAGTTGAACCCAGACAATCAGTTTACTAAAATCGAAAAATCTTCTTGCTACTATCTCATAAAGACCACACAATAACTGAGAACTTGTCTTTGCTTTCAAGTTGGAAGGAAAACTTTTTAAATATTTTATACAGGTGTCTAAAATTCTCCTTACAAACTTCTAGATCTTGTAGGGGGACTGAGTAGAAAATAAGTTTTTAATGCTACCACTTTCACAAGTATTCTTTTACGCATGACCCAACTTGTTTAACAATTCAAATCATTAATAACTTAATAACGAAAACAACAAAAAGTAAACTGAATCACTTTTCACAAACACTTGAGGCACACGTGATGCAGTACCCAATTTGGGAGTGCGGCGTCTCCTTGAAGCACAACAGTTATTCCTACAGGCGATGAAGGTAACTCTTTCTCGAAGCCGTTGCGTAATTGTGGTAAAAATGGTATGCGATGAAGTCAGACGATGTGGATAACGATACCATGAGCTTATACACGTCTTTGATAGACTGTCCACATTTTGAAACCGTTAAAAAATTATTTTGGGTGGATGGCTTTGTGACATAAATTAATGATTTATGCCTATATGTTTATAAGTTGTAATAAAGTTTCCTATTGTATTACAGGTTAAGACAAGATAAGAAATTAATCTAGTTCTTACTAAACATGAAATTATGGCGTAGAAAATCATCAAAAGGAACCATATCAAGTTATTTATCGTTTAGGTGTTCATTCACGAACCAGTAATTTACACAAAGAACTAACATTGCAAACTTCTAATCTAAAATAAACCTTACCTTATCATAAAAATATTCTCTCTTCGGGCGGCAACCGCGGCAATTTTTGGGAAAAAGCTATTTTGATGAGAAATCAATCTGCCAGACTTATTATTATCTTTCAGCAATGCATAATCACAACTCAAAGAAAAGAAAGATGACATTGTTTGACAAACGAAACAACAAGCAAATATTGGAACATAACCCATAGCAAAAGATAAACTTCCGTTACTAGAAAAAGTTAGAACTGATACTTCGATTGCGTTTATATCTTTCAATGGAGCGTGAATTTGTTATTTCGAATACTATAAAGCATTAAAGAACCATCCCCATTTTGTTATTAACTATAAAATTAATAAAAAAAATTTGAAAATAATTTAGAATATTTTTAAAAAAAGGCACCATCTATTACTGTAAAGAGGAACCAACGAAACATGCAATTTACATCTGTTATAAAAAAAAGTATATCGCCTTAATTACACTCAAATTGCAACAATATCTTAATTCTAAAAGAGTGGAAGTTTAAGAAATAAAAACCGCATTAATTTAAAAGTTTTATACATAAACACTTAATTATTATTACTAAAATATTGTTTTAAATCAGTTGTATCCAAAACATTTTGTGCCGTTTTCGACCAATTCCGACCAGCCATCCGGCTTGGATGTCGCATATAAATAACTTCAATATCTAATTGGAACTCCTGAATGATCTTAACGGCTTGTTTTTCAGTGTATCTTCCCACAGCAACAATAATCTTAACATCTAGTAATTTTAAGATCTTGACCAAGGTTTTAGCACAAATATTCTCAAGATCTTTTTTTATTTGTCCCTAAAAGAAAGTTGTTGAAATACATTTACTAACAAAAAAATATCTGACTTTCAGTTTGTCTGGTGTAATATTAGCACATCTTTTTCCTTCTTCTTCCTTTTCCATAAAAGCCAAGGGACAAAAATTGTATACAAAAGCATTTTTAAAAAGGACTTCTGGAGTTCTACATAAATTCTTAAAAAATCCGTAAAATCTTTTTCCGCTTTGCTCACTTCGATGGCATTCAAATCCTTTAATTTGTTTCTTGGGACACTCATCTTTAGGTTTTTCCACTTCCCCGTTCATTTTTAACCATTCCTTTGATATATTAACTTCACCAAAAGGGATACCAGTTTGGCACATACCCCACGGACCTGGATTAATCCCTAAAAATAATACATCCTTGGTACCTTTACAATAAGTTTTTACGAAAGTTGAATGTGGTTTCCATGCATATTCTAATGGATTGTAAATGTAGTGTGCAGGAGAACTAAATGTTAGGTTGTTTAATTCCTTGGATAATTGGTCTTCATATTTTAAAAAAATTTTTGGAATATTCTCGTCGTTGGCTTCCATTAAATGTGGATTTTTATCTTCGTTTGTGGTTGATTTATCTGGTTCTTTTACTGGGGATAGTTTTAATTTCTTTCTTAACTTTTTTAAAGCGTGCCTTTTACTGCACTTAAAAGTTTAATCTTTTTGGGCAACTTATAGACAATTATCTTATCTATTATTATCATAGATTAAATATATATATACACTTATTATCTAGAAAACTATAAAGCATTGAAGAACCATCTCCATTTTGTTATTAACTATAAAATTAACAAAAATATTTAAAAATAATTTAGAATGTTTTCAAAACTAATGCGCCATCTATTATTGTAAAGAGGAACCAACGGAACATGTAATTAAAATTTACATCTGCTATTAAAAAAAGTATATCGCCTTAATTACACTCAAATTGCAACATTATCTTAATTCTAAAAGAGTGGAAGCTTAAAAAAATAAAAAAGGCATTAATTTAAAAGTTTTATATATAAAAACTTAATTATTATTATTAAAATATTGCAACAAATCATTTGTATCCAAAACATTTTGAGCCTTTTCTGCCCAATTATTATTCCCAACAACCCTTGGGCTTGGATGTGGCATATAAATAACTTTAATATGTCCTAATTGGAACCCCTGAGTTATCTCAATGGCTTGTTTTTCAGTGTATCTTCCCAAAGCAACAATAATCTTAATATCTAGTAATTTTAAGATGTCCACTAAAGTTTTGCCACAAATATTCTCAATATCTTTTTTTATTTGTCCCTAAAAGAAAGTTGTTGAAACCCATATACTAACAAAAAATATCTTACTTTTAGTTCGTGTGGTGTAATATTAGCGCTTTCTTTTTTCATAAAAGCCAAGGGACACAAATTGTATACAAAAGCATTTTTAAAAAAGGCTTCTGGAGTTCTACATAAGTTCTTAAAAAATCCGTAAAATCTTTTTCCACTTTCCTCACTTCGATGGCATTCAAATCCTTTAATTTGTTTCTTGGGACACTCATCTTTAGGTTTTTCCACTTCCCCATTCATTTTTAACCATTCCTTTGATATATTAACTTCACCAAAAGGAATACCAGTTTGGCACATACCCCACGGACCTGGATTAAGCCCTAAAAATAATACATCCTTGGTACCTTTACAATAAGTTTTTACAAAAGTTGAATGTGGTTCCCATGCATATTCTAATGGGTTGTAAATGTAGTGTACAGGAAAACTAAATGTTAGGTTGTTTAATTCCAGGGATAATTGTTGTTCATAGTTTAAAAAAATTGTTGGAATGTCCTCTTCATTAGCTTCAATTAAATGTGGATTTTTATCTTCGTTTGTGGTTGATTTATCTGGTTCTTTTACCGGAGATAGTTTTAATTTCTTTCTTAACATTTTTAAGGAGCGATTAAGACCTTAAAAGTTTAATGTTTATGGGTAACTTATGGATAACTATATAAGATAGTTATTATACTTAATAGATGGCGCTCAAAAACTTATTTTAAAGCTATATTCAAATTATTTATTTTTATTCTAAATATTATCATAAATATATTAATAATGCGTTGTAAGATTGAGATTAATTTATTTTTGTTAAAAAAATAAACGTAAATAATTTTTTGTTGAAAATTGATAAGAAAAGATAAAGTGAGGTTATGAGTAAACGTCAAACGCGCAAAAACACGTTTATTTAGACGTCAGAAAATCATATGTCAACGTGCAAAAAGTGTGGTTATAAGTATTAATTTGAGTACAATACGGTTAAAATGTCGATTTTGGATGGTAGCGTGAGAAGTTCTCGTGTTTCAATATTAAAGGCACCAAGCCTAAGAAGTTCATTGGTAAAATCTGCCCCGAAAGTGAGATTCAAATTACCCGATTCAAAAAAGATCGAGTGTATATTGCACGAATTCGCTAATGGAACAAACACTAGAGACTATGAGAATTTAGTAGTTTTAATTAGAGACGCTGAATTATTAGATGATGATATTTTCGATTTACTAACAGAAGCTACACAGTGTATATCATTGTTGAGCCATGAATTAAGACTTTTTGTTGAAGCTGTTTTATCCTTAAGGTGGACGCATTACAGCAGTAATGTTACTGGAATTTATAAATCCTTTTTGTTAAATCTGTTATCTGCACATAATTATCATGTTAAATATGCTGTTAATAAGTTGGTATCTAATTTTATACCCGAAACGAACGACGAATGGATTTGTGGAATACCGAATGATAGTGATTTACAAAAATGTGTGCATATACATTGGGTTTTAAATATATTAATTAAAGTTGTACCTATGTAAGTATTTTAATCCTTTTTAGGTTGGTTTGAAATAAATTTGTTTCAATTATTATTTTAGGAGTCAAGAAGTAATTTTAAACGCGTTTAGATCACATTTTCCATATCATAAAAAATCAACACATGTTCATGAATTCTATATACATAATTTATTATTGGTATTGGAATATCAACCTGAATTTAGATTGGAAATTTTAACATTAATTTTTTCAAAGTATGTTTTAAATATTTTATTATTAATGTGCTTATAAAAAAACGTTTCATGTATTTTAGGTTAGTTATATTAGATGTAAATGCTCCTAAAGATGAAATTGAAAAAGCCAAATGTGATTTTATTGCTGATAATTCAGCGATTCAAATGGGTGGTGAAGATTTTGAGGATAAAATACATCATACAATAGGACACACTTTGGATGTATGTATTGATAGGATATTTAATTATTTTGTATCTGAATGTGAAGATAGAAGAAATGGAAATTTAGATTGGGATAAATTAAAATGTAAATTTAAAAAAAACAATCATTTATATGGTTAAAATAATGAAGTGATTTAATTTTAGTGTTATATAGAGATGTCATTTCAATATTTGATAAAATAATTCTTCCAACACATAATATCCACCATATACAATTTATAATTTTTTATTTGTGTTGTTTTAAAACGGCTATATCGGAAGCATTTTTAAATTATTTATGGAAAAAAGTTTGTTCGCCAAGTATAGCTTCTGTTGTTAGACAAAGTGCTGTTTGTTATATCGCTAGTTTTATTGCAAGAAGTAATTTTATTCCGCTTTCGTAAGTATGCTAAAAAATTTATTGATTATGAATAATTTGAGTATATTTCTTTTAAGGATGCTCAAAGGAACGCTTCAACAAATGTCTACTTGGGCTCATTCATATATTTCAACACTAGATGAAGTGGAATGTGTTAATTTTGATGTTAGGACACATTCGGTTTTTTATAGTGTTTGTCAAGCGATATTTTACGTTATTGCTTTTAGACAAAAAGATCTTTTTAATACAAAGAAAAGTAAAAAAGGAATATTAATAATTTTTAATTATTAATTTATTTTGTTTTAGATTTATCATTTTTAGAAACGTTAAATTTAGCAAAAATTGTTACATGTAGATTAAATCCTTTACGTGTTTGCCAACCAGCTGTTGTTAAAAATTTCGCAGCAGTTACAAGAACTTATCAATTAGCATACTGTTATTCAGTTATTGAACATAATTCTAGAAACATTATGAAAACTATTTACCATGATGATAAAGGTTCAACATTAACCACTGATAATATTTTGGATAGTTTTTTTCCATTTGATCCATATGTTTTAAAACGGTAAGAAATTATCCAATGGAAGTAATACAGTTCTTGTCAAAAGTAAATGTCTAATTTGAAAACGATCATTTTTTTAACACTATACAGTGAATTTCACTTTAGATGCAATATACAAAAATATATTTCCATAAAAACCAGGGGTAGTAAGTAGGTTACTACTTACTTTGTTGCACATAAAATGCAACATGTCAATATAATTTGACATTACAGTAAAACCTTGATATTTATTTATTTTATTTCACACACCAAGTTGGGCACAGAACAGGACAAACCCAGAAAAAACTATGCCTAGAAAATTACAACAAAAAATAGAAAAAAAAATTTACAAATATCATCATGAAAAATAGCGTAACATATACCGGGTTTCCCAAAAGTAACGGATATATTCGTTAAAACAATTAAGAACAGTTTATGGAAAAATCGCTGAAACGGGTCTAAAGATTAAAATTTTTTGCAATTGTTTGGTATAGATTTTAAAATTTTTCCGCTATTTTTAAACGAGTAATTTTCTATAGATAAGCTAAGCCTTGACGTCATAGATATGGGCGGAGCTTATACCGACTCCAAACATTTTCGTTGCTAACTGTGTTGCTAACGGTAAATCACCATATGCAATTTTTCATTAGTGTTAAAATAAAATAAATTAAGTTAACTGATGACATTTCAAATGACATTTTTTGGCGATTTATGTATATTTATGTTATTATCTTTGACGTCAGACTTAGGCAGTCTATTACGGAATATGAAAGAGGACTTTTTCTGCATCTAGTACAGTCAATATTAATATTGGTTACATAAGAACATTTTCGAGAAAAATTATGTTAAAGTTTCATGATTTTCCATTCATTTAATATAGCAAAACAGCAGTAGCTATGCGTAACCATGGCAACCAACTGCTTCAGATATCAAAAATTAATCATTCTAAAACAACTGGTTGCCATGGTTACGAATGGCTATTTTTCTACCTCTAATGAATGGAAAATCATGAAACATTTAAGGCAATTTTACTCGAAAATTTTCTTATGCAACTAATATTAATTTTGGCTGTATCAAATTCAGAAAAAAGTCCTCTTTCATATTCCGTAATAAAAATGGGGGATTGTTATTTTGAAAAAATAGCGATGACGTCATAACTAGCTTCAAATGGCGGAAAAAATTTAAAATCTATACCAAAAAATTTAAATCCTTAGACCACTTTCAGCGATTTTTCTATAAACCGTTTTTAATTCTTTTAACGAATTTATCCGTTACTTTCGGGAAGCACTGTATATACAGGGTGTCATACAAAAAACGCCCCAAGCTGTAACTCTGTCATTTACATTCCGATTTTCATGAGCGAGGTATCAAATGTAATGGTTTGATGAATATAATGATTCATGCTATAAATAAATATTCTCCAAGACCATCTTTAATTTTAAACGATTATTAACTTTTGTTGTTCAAATTGTTCCATATATTTTTCTTCACGTCATAGGATAGAGATGCTTTTTCTGAATCCATTGATGTAAAATACATCAATTTAAAATGTAATTTTAGCAGAGAAAAGACACCTGTATATACAGGTTGTCACACAAGAACGCCACAAGCTGTAACTCTGTCATTTACCTTCCGATTTTAATGAACGATGTATCAAATGCAATGGTTTGATGAATGCTATAATTCATGCTGCAAATAAACTTTTTCCAATGCCATCTTCAATTTCAAGCGATTATCAACTTTTGATTTTTAAATTGCTCGTTATGTTTTTCTTTACGTTATTGGATAGTGATTCCTTTTCTGAATCTATTAATGTACAATACATTCACGTTAATTGTAATTATTAGTTAATAGAGTTGTGGAAAATGTCTATCCTCAAGCCGGTGCGCTGAAAATGATCGAATGTGCGAGCCATTCTCAGCATAGGAGAGTTTTGAAAACTGAACAAGGAATAGAAGTATAAAAACAAATAATCCAGTATGAGCAGTCGGGGTGGGACGCGAAAATTAATACTCTCCAGTAGTGGGGGAGAACCAATTACGTGATTAATGATTTTGAAGAATGTTAACGCATCACTACAACATCGACGTTGACGGAGTGATAAAAGATTGAAGCTATGACATGCAGACTCCTAATCAACATAATCCATGTTAGTCCTGAAGCTGAGGACCTCTACTTATATAAAGTTGATATTGGGGATTCCAAACTGAGCTACAAAAATGTAACACGCTGTGAACATCTGCAAAATATAATACTTTAATTGCTTTGATGTCTATAACATTTTCTGTTGTTCTAAGCACAAAGCCAAGTTTTGGAAACGTGTTTCTCAAATGTAAGTTTTTGGTCAAATGTTACACCAAGATCTCTAATATGAGATACTCTCGATATGGCTGCGCCCCCAAGACCATAGTTGTATTAAATTAAGTTGAACTTTCTTGTGAAAGAAATTATATAACATTTGCTCAAATTGAGCGTAATGAGGTTCGAGTCGCAGTTCTGTTGCAAAGCGTCAATGTCACGCTGCAATCCAGAGGTGAGGACACACGTGTAAATAATTTCAGATCATCAGCATACATTAAGCAGTGAGAATGTTTCAAACAGCAAATATATCATTAATGTAAATATTAAACAAAAGGGGTCCCAAGTGACTAGATATAGAAAAGGAACTAGTTTTATGTCCTTTGATTAACACTATCTGAGTTTTTCCGCGCATATAGAAGGCAAACCATCCGACCAAGTAGCCATCGATACCAAACTGTTGAAGTTTTGAAATTAACAGATTATGGTCAACTCGGTCGAACGCCTTGCTGAAGTCTGTGTAAGTAGCGTCTATTTGGATAGATTCATAGAACGTAATATGTAATTGCTATATTCTAACAAGCTCTCGACTGATCGACCCGCGAAGAAATCGTGTTGTCTGAAATCAATTTGGCTTTTGACTATGAAAAATAATCTTTTGTATATAAGTTTTTCAAGTAATTTGCTAAACATCGATAATAATGATATAGGTCTAGTGTTAATAACTTTGCTACAATCGCCAGACTTAAATATTGAAAGAACATGTGCCTGCTTCCAGACACGCGAAAAAACTCCAGACTGAAGTGATTTATTAGTTCTTAATAATAATTGTGGGTATTCCATCTGCCCCAGGCCCCAACTTAGCGTCAACGCCACTCAATGTCTCCTCAACCTCTGGCTGCTCAAAATACACCGCACCGGTAGAAGAACAATTAAAAATGACAGAGCAGCTCAAGGCTGTACAGTATTGAAAACTGAGTTGAAGTGAGAACTAGAAACATTTGGATTTAGCCGCACGTCTCTCAAGACGGCTAAACCCGAATGTTTCTAGTTCTAGGTCTAGTGTTAGTTCTAGTTTTACATTAGCACTATCACTAGAACTAACACAAGACCTAGAACTAGAATCATTCGGATTTAGCCGCACGTCTCTCAAGGCGGCTAAACCCGAATGTTTTTAGTTCTAGGTCTAGTGTTAGTTCTAGTTTTACATTAGCACTATCACTAGAACTAACACAAGACCTAGAACTAGAATCATTCGGGTTTAGCCGTCTTGAGAGACGTGCGACTAAATCCGAATGTTTCTAGTTCTCGGTCTAGTGTTAGTTCTAGTTTTAATTGTTATTCAGCGTTAGATTTTGGTATATTTTTATTGACCGAAAAGTAGAACAAATACTAGACCTAGAACCAGAAACATTCCTAGATTCAGAAAATCAGAGTTATCATAAAGACGTCACCTTTTCCAAGCTAAACTTTTCCTTTGCAAAACTACCCAATGCCTGTATTATTAAGCTATGTTGCTTTCTATGTGGGATAGTGCAAGTGCAGAGCAGTTTCGTAACTATGGTTACTGCATTCATATCTTGCGAGTTATATGAAATTCTCTGTATATTATTACGTTTTCAAATAAGAAGTTTACAATAAATGTTTGAAAATGTACTAAAAATGGTTTTAATTTTTTAGATCTGGTGAAAAAATTAGACACATTTATTTACATTATAGAGATAACGAAGAAGTTCCATCACAACGACAGGAAATGGACGTAGACGATGATTTTCTTTGTGAACAAGAAACTTCAAAGCATCTTTTAAAATTTTCTTATAGTTGTTCTCCAGGATTTCGCGTGACACAATAAGGAAGTGATTATTATGTTTTTCCTAAATAAATCTTTATTATTTATTAACAGCTTTTATTTTAACAAAATTATTTTATGGTAAATTAATAATATCACCAAAATTAGCTGGATAACCACTCGATTTTGTATTTGAAACAGCAAAAACGCTCCCAGCGGCTGGTTGACGTATTCTTTCCTCTTTATTTAACGCGTATCTTGATGTAGTAACATACAAAGTGGTGAAGTTGGTATCACCCCAAGCAACGGATGTAACAAATTGTGCTGGAATTGGTACGATTTCTACAAGTTTTTTTGTGCGCGGGTTTACTTTAATAACGGCCCCTCCATTATAAAGAGCTACCCAAAGATTATCATCGCGATCGATCGTCATACCATCGGGATGTCCCGTTATAGCTGGATGATCGTCAACGTCAAATACAATTTTTGGGTTTGAAATTGTACCAGATTTATCATCGTAATCATATTGTCGAACTTGATTTGTAGGGGTATCGATGTAAAAGAATTTATCGTTTGCTTTATTCCAAGCTAATCCATTACTTATATTTACAGGTCGTATTAAAACATCGGGATGTTGTAAATTATTTTTTGTAAATTTATATAAGGCACCTTGATTAGGATCTACATCGCCTTTAGAATTTTCATACCCCATTGTACCAAACCATAATCTTCCTTGTTTATCGGCTTTTCCATCATTGAATCTACTTTTGGGATATTCCGGTTGAACAACAGCTAAATTTTGTGTTTTACCCAAACCTTTACCTCCATCCCATTGGATTAACGTTAATGTACGGTTTAAGCCACCGAAAAAATATGTTGTATTCGATTGGGATGGAATAATTACGGATAACGAACCATTTAAATTAATGTGTTGAAGGTTATTCGATTTGGGATGGTAAGAATACAATCCACCTGCGTGAATATCGACGTAATACAAAGTTTCTGTTCGGTAATCCCATACGGGACCTTCAGCGTGATCCACTGGCTTAGTTACTTGAGTTACACAAGGATTTGAACAAGAAAAACTTTGGAAATTGAAAGAAAAATAAAAAATATATTTCGATTTAATTACTTTTGTGAAACTTACCTGTTCAATAAAGACGTAACTGTCAAAATTAACAAAACAATCATGTTGAAATGAAGAAAATGAAAGTTTCGTAGCGATTGGATGCAGTCTTAATTGTGGTTTACGCGTTTGAGGTTGCGTAGTTAGTTTTTATATAAACAGAAAAATATGTTTGGTATTTTTAGATAAATACTAATGTTCTACATATTTCTATTGTTTACTTAGATTTAATTATTTCTTTGTAATGTATTCTTGGTATTTGGTTTAAAACTTGGGAATAACATCCTTTTTTAATTTTATAGAAAAATTCCGAACAAAATGTAATTATTTATAACGTGTTCTAAATACTGTGTAAGTGTATCTAATTCGATTGAACATAATAAAAAATGCAATCAAATATTAAACCGAGGAAATCATAAAGGCAATGAAAAAAATCAAATACAATGAGATTTTCAAGCTAAATCAGTATTTCTTCCGAATGGTTTTACTATGTAGATTCATCAAGGAATAACGTCGTCAGCTACTAATACCTTTGACGAAGTTTGATCAATTACTTTGCAAAAATCTCATCATTGCGAAGGCAATATCAACGCATGTTAGTAAAGTCACGCTGCATATGTCTTTGTAATTAATATCCAATATGAGGGGCATTTCTGTAACAATATGTTTTCTATAAAAACTAGTATTCTTCTAGAATTGTCATCTTGAGTTTATGCTACCCGTGACAGTGTTCGTCTCATTTAAAATTTACCACAACATGATTGAGTTGAATCTAGACTAATATAAATTTCCTATATCAACTTTATCTGTCCATGAAAATACTGACACAGAGGAACTGTAACACTATTCTAACTATAATACTTTCAACCATTACAAATCTTCTACAGCTTTTGCAAATATTTTGTTCATGGTGAAGGTTCATATTTGCTGTAAAACCGGAGATGAGGTTGGCATTTGACGTACTTAACTGCATGTGATGGTGGATAAATCCATAACAATTCTACCTCTGGGAACCAGTTTCGCCAGATATCGTGCATGTAATGTTACAAAGTCAGATCAGTATTTTAATGAACTTAATTAAACATGTATAAGAGAAAATGCCAAATTTTTATGCTGGATTTCAACTAATATGCGAGTTTTACTCTGAAAATATACTTCCGTAAAATTAATGTTTTGGGTAACACAGCATTTGTTTAATAATGAAATTTACTACAGTCTCATCCCATCTCTTGGAACTCTACCTATGGTGATGAGAGGTGGTTTGGATCAATTTTGATATTGTTTTCAACGTTGTTGCTAATTGCTACGCATACTAATTTCTGAAATATCACCTATAGCTGAAATAAATTCAGTAGCAATATTACTTGTAAAGTATTGAACAGCCCGTACCAACCCGGACACTCCTAACAGTAGGCTTTTATAATAGCTGCTTTTCTCCGGCAACTTTATATCCCGAATAAATCATAACTAAGGTTGTCCTCTTGGTCACTTGCTCAAACATGGATTCGCCAAAGAGTATTTTCTTGTCCACAGAATAGTAAGGAGCAAGTATCATACAACTTCACCACCAGCGTTTTTATCTCATTTTTTACTTTTACCAGTGCTTTAAAACAATTTTCAAACGAATCATTCAACATTGGACAATATGGAAAGATTCAGAAGTATACATGGCTCTTGCGAAGCAGTTTGTAGAAATGTTATCTGTGAAGCCGCAGAAGAAGCTCTGAGAGAAAACAGTGGGTTGTTCAATGGAACGATTTGACGAAAAGTGCATTGAGGAGAGGAAACTACAGCAGTGTAGAGCCAGACAAACTGAGGAGGAGTACAAAGCACGGAGAAGAGAAAAAAGGAGATCTCATAAACGGAAAAAGAGAGACGCCGTAAATGGTGAACTGAGAACAATCATCCTGTTAAATTCGACTTACAAGATATGATCTATCATTTTATACAAAAGCTACCAGTTCCAGAAAACGTTTGATGGAAGCCATAGCAGAGCATAACGTGTTAACTATAGAGCAATTTGCATACCTGAGTTCACTCGTCACATCGGATAATAACACCGCCGAAGTAATCAAAAGAAGAATTCTTCTTGCAAATAAAACTTATTAGGGTCTGATGACCCAACTAAGATCTGGTATTTTGACAAGAAGAACAAAATCTCAAGTATATAAAACCTTAATACGACCGGTGCTGGTTTGTGGTTCGAAATTTGGGTAATGTCCAAGAATGACTAAAGATAATGGTGAATACGCTATAACCTTGAATTATATACAGTGTATGGGAACCCACACATCCATATATCCAAAATCTCTAAATATCATTAACTATAGAAGCAAAATATGGCACAGAACAGAATGCGAAGGCTCTTAGAACAGGCTAAGACCCACAGAGAGTGTCATGCCACTGATGATGATGATGCTGGTCGCGTCACTGACCTCAACGTAAAATAAAAAAGAACTGATTTCGCAGCAAAGTAGTAAATCAGCTCATCTTGGCAATCACGTCAATATGGGAATTTCAAAGAAAGCTGAAACTAGTTCAGGTTTGGTTTTAGGGTTCGGATTCAGTATTCGGGATCAGGTTTGAATTCGGGTGCGGGTTTTTGGTTCGAGTTGAGGGTTTTTGTTCCGGCTTGATAAGTTAGTTAACAAAGCAGGAACAACGATTAAAGTTGAAATCTCTTAAAATGCGCCATATTTGTCGTTAATGTCAATGCAAAAGCTTGGGAGGGCTTCTAACAAATGGTGGCAAACTATTGGTGCAACTTTTTCGTCACAACATGTAATTAGTAAGAAATGTTTCCCAGTTATAGATGAGTTCTGGAAGTTGTTTGAGTTCTAGAAGTTGTTTTTCAAGTATACGCTTGAGTTCCTCAAAATTTACTTCAATCTCTTAAAAAGTCTGCAATTCTCATATTAATCTGTATAACTGAAGTAATAGATTACACTGAATAGAGCAACCGAATTTATGAAGTGACATTTACTTTTAAATATTACTCTTTCCTTTCCCATTACATATATTACGGATTACTAACTCTAACTAAGATATTAATTACCAAAGGCGAAGACCGTCAGACAATATCATGAGTTATGCACCACAAGATGAAACAACTACTAACAATAAGTGTAGGAAATGTAATACTGGCTGGAATGTATGTTCTTATTGTTCCAAATCCAAGACATCATGATAAAAATGGAGTTTTCAGTAATATAAACATTTATTGTTTACTATTTTCTTCTCTAAACTTGAAAAAATCTTAAAAACTCCTTTAGGCATACCTAGGCAACCTAGAATGCGAACTATATAAACGATTTAATAATAGATTAAGTTAAATACAAGACAATTGATAAAATAATAAAAGATAAGACATGCATTTATTGATTTATACCATATTTTCCACCCAAAAATTGTCGTTAAAATTATTGCCATTGATGAAATTTTTGTTTTGAACGGTTTTATTATATTTAAAAATTGTCCGAAAGTTGATTTCTTGTAAAATGTTTCTTTAATGTTGACTAATCAATCTAATCATACAGGAAAATCTAAACTTTAAAATGGAAAAATCCGTTTTGGGGAATCTCACATAGTTTCTGACCAACAAATTTTTGGAGTTAATGCTATTTTGTGCTATTTTCTAGAGTTAACGGTGGCATTCATTTAATTTAAAAATGAGCGAAAAATCAATTTTATAAAGGAAACTCTTATCTATGTAATTGTAAAATCCGTTTTGAAAAATCTCATTTCCTTTTTGCCATATAACTTTCTGAAGTTGCTCGAAATTTTTTATTGTAGTCGGTTGTATTCCATTAATTTAAAAATAAAATAAAAATCGCTTTCTGGGAAAGTTTTTTTATAATGTTTACAAATTATTAAGAAAAATCTTATCTTTCTAATGGTAAAACGCGTTTTGGGAAATCTCAATAGTTATTGACTTCCAAATATTTGAAGTAAATTGAAATTTTCTACTGTTAACAGTTTCATACAATTAATTCAAAAATACGCGAAAAATTAATTTCTGGGACAATTTTTCTGTAATCTTTACAAATCATAAAGGAAAATCTTAACTTTGAAATGGAATAATAATAATAATAATAATGCCTTTATTAATAGAAACAACAGAAAAAAAAAAGATTACAAATGTGCGCAGGGCGGAGTTAGGACCATAGTCCTCTCTACCACCCAACCCTGCGTAAAAAAAAAATCAAAAATTCAAAAAATAAAACATAAAACATTCGATCTTGACAATAATACTAATACCAACAAAACAGCCATTCAGAGAGAAAGTAATAAAAATAACACTCATAGTAAAAAAAATCGAAAATGATATAAATTACTCATTAGCCCCATTCTGGTCACAGACAATGATCTCGCGGAGCCCTTTTTTGAAGGTGCTCAGTGGCAACGACTTAAGAGAACTTGGCAACGGGTTGTAAAGCCTGGGTAGATTAAAAGAGAAAGACCGTTGAAACAAAACCGAGCGGTGCTGAGGTGGAGTAATCAAGCCGTTGGATCTGATGTTCAAATTATGAACATCAGTCCGGAATGATATTTTATTATAAATATAAGAAGGCGACTTAAGATAAAAAGTTAACAGATGTAATTTCCTCCTGTTAGCCATATTAAGCCAACCCACCTCCTTCAAAAAACATGTAACGTGATCTCTCAAACGCAACCCAAAAATCAGTCTCAGACAGGCGTTCTGAACTTTCTGAATACGGCCGGCAGTTACCTGATCCAGACAAGTGCCGTATACCGTGTCGCAAAAATTAAATTGGCTGAGTACCAAGGCGTCACACAGTCTCGCCCTAATGTCCCTAGATAAAAAGTTTTTAATATTATAAATAAGCTTCAGCGCCGCAAATGATTTACGGACCTTTAAAGTAACATGATCCCTAAATCTGACATCACAATCCATAATGCGTTTTGAGAAATCTCATTTAGTTTTTGTCCTAAAATTTTTTGAAGTTGATTGATATTTTTTCCATTCGGTTTATGTAAATTAACATTTTTCAATCTAGGGACCGTGGTGTTATATCTGATTCCCGCCCAATATCTATTTTGCCAGTATTTGGAAAAGTGATTCAAGCACGTCTATTCTTTGCCCTTATGTCTAAAATCAATTGTAGACAACATGGTTTTTTTGCTAGT